ACCACAGGCTTTCGCCTGTCCGGTAGATCCCACTTGGTGAGAACATAAATCAAAAGGATGCTGGCAACGTCAACGACGGGACATATATTGCTTTCATGGTTCTCATGGTTGCCGGGTTTATTCTCGCCTGGGGTCTCGCAGACTCAAAGTACATTGTGCGAACTGATGGCACGCGAGTTATCACCATGAAGAACCCTACCTGGAAATCTGAACTGATTGGGTTATACGAGACTTTACTGAGCGACTGGTACATCATCACGTTCTTCCCCATGTTCTTGGCTAGTAACTGGTTTTACGGCTACCACTTCAACGCCATCAACGGTTCTTATTTCTCCGTCCGCACTCGAGCCCTCAACAGTATCTTGTACTGGTCCATGCAGATGGTTGGTGCCTTTTTGTTTGGCCTGATCTTGGACTTAAAATTCCTCAAGCGTCCCGCTCGTGCCAAGCTCATCTGGTTTCTGTTGTTCGCTCTCACCATGGGCGTCTGGGGAGGTGGGTACGCCTTCCAGAGAACCTACACCCGCGAGGACGTCCACTCCGAGGATCCCTCGAAGTTGCGTGAAGCTACGGATTGGACTAGCAGCGGCTTTGTCGGGCCAATGTTTATGTACATGTTTTACGGTTTTTACGATGCTGCGTTTCAAACTTGCGCCTACTGGTAAGTTATCACGGCACAGTACCCAAGCTCCACGCTCACCCACTCATAGGTTCATGGGCTGCCTATCCAACAACGGCCGTAAACTAGCCAATTTTGCTGGTTTCTACAAGGGAATTCAATCTGCCGGCGCGGCAGGGATGTGGGCGTAAGTTGTGCACTGTATTATTTGGCAAGTAAATGAGACATACTAACATAGTTTGTAGGATGGACTTTAACAACAAGCCATACATGACCATGTTTGCCTCGTGCTGGGGTTTGCTCGGCGCTGCTCTCTTAATTGCTGCCCCGGTTATCTTTTTTAAGATTAAGGAGCACACTGAGCTAGAGGATGATCTCAAGTTCTCCGACGAGGCTGCCGCGGATGTCATCGGCCTTGATTTGGTTGCCCAGTCGCAGCCAGAGTATCAAGAACGGCAAGGATCTCCTCCCGAAAAGAAGAGGAGTTCTTCTGATGCTTGATCGTCAGTCTTAATAGGTCAGATAAGGTAGTTCTTGACACGATGATCATGCCTCTTAGTTCTACGGTGTATTTTTTTCGCAGCGCGGTGGCTCAGTTTACCTTTGGTATTGCACAGTTTCACTCAGTCCCGGCATTGTGGGTGGGCCGGCTTTTCTGAACATTCAGTTGTGTATCTTGATACCAAATAGTTACTTCGGTATTGTTATTTAGTAGTAAGCATGACCACTTGTTTTGGTCTACATTAGTCCATAACTCAACTCATAATAAATACATAATAATTCAGTACAGATATGGTTTGACATAATTTCCTCTTATAAATGAAACGGGATGTGCGTTTTGTCGGGGTAGGTTATGTTGGTGAAGGGTAGGATTTCACCTTGGCTATTACTACTGAAGTGGCGAGGCAGGTGGATATTTTACTGACTGGTTATAGAGGAACCTAGTACTATTAGAATTATATGCAATTAAGCTTCCTATTAAGTCAATATATTATTATGTTATTATAAATATAGGCCAATATTATAAATCTGAATACGCACTTCATTTCTAAAAGTTGGCCGTAGAGTCTTTCCACACATTTATGTTACAACGCTGGCTTGTGCCACGGTTTCAAAATGGTTTATTTGTATATAATATATTTTCTTTCCTGATTATATACAATATTTGCAGTAATAATTATGTCGCCCTTTAGTGCAACATCAGAGAAAATCAGAAAAGACCCGAGCTAGGCGACGACGAAGGTGTAGCCGTCGGCAAGGGCACAAACGACTCAGAGTGCGTCGGGGTTGCCGACCCATTAGTACTATACCCAGGCCAGATCTGGACGTTGCCTTCCGCGATGTCCCAGCCAAACAGGGTGCGGTTGAACAGCTGCAGCGAAGCCTCGGGCTGATAATACGGGACTTCATGGCCAGCCTCGTAAACACGGGTGAACGAGAAGTTTCCGTATTCGCGGGTTTCACCATACTCAACACCATCAACCAGGAGGCCGGTATAGCCGGCCTGTTGGAACTGTTCGGAGTGCGGGTACTTCACGGCGAGGGAGACGGCCTGGCCACCGAACCAGTTGCAGATATAGTCTGCGTCGCCGTAGATGAGGGAGACGCGGACTGGGTATGTGAGGATTTCTTCGAGGTCCTCGATGAAGTTGGGCCAGACGAAGTCGCCGGTTTGCTGGAAGGCGTAGTACACGTCGTTATTAGAAGAAGTATAGTTGACGCTTACGCCGAGGGCGTCCATGACCCAGTCCTGGCTGAGGAAGGGCTCGAAGAGGCCGGGGGGTGTTGGGTCCTTTTTGCCACGTGTGTCAGCATAACTATTGGTATTGTGGGCAGGAGAAAGTTATGGGATCTTACATCGTACGGGTGGCGGATGTCGTAAACACCGCGGCCGCCGAAATTGTAGTAGGGTCCCTCTGTAAATTATCAGCGGAGTTAAAAATGCCAGTGTGAGGGACCTGTTGAAGCAGCGTTGTCACGTACCGACATTGTCTCTGCACATGTTAGTTGCTTCCGCGCATAGAGCGTAGTCGGCAAATGAAGTTCGGTTAGTCTGTTTGCAGAGAGCAACCTGATCCTGGCATCCATTAGGCATCTCGTTGGCAAATTTCATGTAGTTGTAAACTGTGTCGTTGATCTAGATGTACCATATTGTTAGCAAATGTGACACTTCCCCTTTTAAGCCGGGGATACTCACAGCCTTGATGCCATAGGTGTTGTGCACTGCGAATTCAGGGTAGTGGCCCGCCTGTGCTCTGGTTAGCTATGTAGCGGAGAGCGGTTGGAGGGCCGCATACTTGAATTGCTTCATCGATGATACCATTAATGATACCCAAAGAGTTGAAGTTAAGTTCAATACCGTCGACAGTTCCATTGACAATCTTCTGGTTTTGCTCGTAGAAGTGGTTGAAGAACGCCGGCCCGTAGTGACCTCCGTAGCTCTCAGTCCACAAGCTGAAGTCCTTGGACTTGATCGCGCTGTCCAACTGTGGAAGTCCACCCAGGAAAGCCTGCACAACTTCCCAGGTAGCGTGGGCAGCAAGCTCGGTGGTATCTGGCGCCGTATTAGCACTGGGACTGGTCACAAGAGATTGTTCAGAAATTACCAGTTAGGGTAGCGTTGATTTTCGGGTAACGGCCTTGGACACCATCGAAGGAAGAATCCTCGACAACACCGGTAACAGGGTTAAGCGACCCCTCCTCAGTTTCGGCGTACGAGAACCCTATAATCGAGTGAGCAGTTATCGGGGACCATTGAGATTATAGTTCGTCATACCGACTCCTAACGGTTGTGAGATGAACAGCAGGTTAGAAACCTCGCTCCACGAGTAAGGGTTAACGTCGGTCGTCAGGTTCTCATTAATAGCGCACGGTCCCAGTTCTATGAGGATTGCATCAGTTAACTTGAAACCCAATTTTGAAAGAAAAATTCAAGAATAGAAGACTAGTACGGACCCTCAAATAAGCCGATAAGAGAATCACTTCCCGGGCCACCATTCAGCCACAAGGTAATGGGGGCATTTGCGGGATCGTGGCGAGCCTCAAAGAAGTAAAAGAAGGTATGGGACTCGGGCGACAGATCGACATATCCGGAGTAAGAGTTGACACCAGGGGTTGTCTCGCAGACGCCGTCTTTGCCAGGCTCTTTGTATCGAATGGTCACACCATTGGGGGTCTCAATTTTCTTCACACCAGTTGGGTCCTCTGGCAGCTGTCTTTTGTTCAAGGAGAACCTTGGTTGTGTGTCGGGCGCGGCCAAGGAGGCAGCAGCAAGAGACAACAGTGAGACGAAGCTAAGACGGGGAGACATCGTGACTTTTCTCCCTTTGAACTGAATGGTCTGGATCCTCTGAGGCAGCGAGGACCCAGCGAGAGGACGGGGGGTAAACAGGCCATTTTATAGCAGCCGGATCGTGCAGCAAGATCATCGACGATTGGTATTATTCCGCAGTATTGAAGCGGGCATCCGCAATTCCGCATGCAATCGGGCGCCGCAAGCTATCTCCATTCCACCAAGGGAGATAACAAGGTCGCACTGCGACCCACAGGTATCGTCCCCGGAGCGCAATTCCCAACTCGGATCCATAGTAAGAACTGACAAGTGACAACAAAGGAAGCTCAGGGGTCTGACCAGCCGGGCCCAGTCAGCTCGCAGATCGCATCATTTTGGCTGCACCTCGTGTCTTGCCCACAAACAAATGAGGGGAAAGGATCGGCGGTAGCATCGTCGATTGTCGACCTTCCTGAACAGTTTAGTCAGTTCTTTCGCGAGAAGACGAAATGAGGGGTTTATGCAATCTTACGATTAATTAATATAATAGAAAATAAACATTGGACGAAAGGCGAAAATAATAAAGGGTAAGAGTCATGGTTGGAGGAGCAGAAAGAGGAGAAGATGCAAGACGGGGGAAGCCGAAGCAGGATCCAAGACCGCCAATGCAAGGCTTGAGTTGCTTGGCGCAACTCCGGGTTTGGGTGGACACAACAGCTGAGAAAAAGAAAATCTGCTTACCCTGTGCAACTGGGTGGCCTTTCTCAACAGCCGTTGGTCGGACAGCAGCTACAGGACAGGAACGGAGTTCAGACAGGTTGGGTAATACGTTGATTGGTCATATTCTCATGTCGTACTTTTGATAATAAACCTCTATGTAGACGGTGGTAAAACAGCCCCAGCTTATTGAGCTAGAGGTCAAGAAACAGAAATAGGGAAAGCAAATACAAATAAATCCCTGGGCCGTAAATCATATCCCAAACTCCGTCGCCCATGCTTTCTGAGTATCCAGGGGAAAACAATAAAATATATGCAAGAGAACAAATCGGGCAAAATGGCCGTCTTCGGTGTAAGAAGAAACGGAATGACACTAAAACCTTTCAAAGGACGTTATGCATTCATACTGAGACCAAGGTCCATGTCGAGTTTGGGTGCCTCCGTCTGTGTTACATCAACACCCGCATCGGTTGTCGCGGTGATAGGGTCTTCAAAGTCCCCTTTCGAGTTGTCGCTCTTGTTCCCAGAATCGAGACCAACCATGTCGGAAAACGTAAATGGGAAGCCACCGCCCTTGGTATTCGTGTCGCCGGTCGCATTCTCCATGCCGTTCTCTGAAGAAAAGAAGTCTGCTCCAGCATCATCGAAATTGATCAAGGCGTCAAAATCATTCTGCGTCACTTCAGCGTCGTTGGCCAAGTCCATGAGCTCACTCAAACTCAATTCGGCATCCTCAATGTTGGGGATCCTAAACGCGTCGCGGTGGTAGCCGGGGTTAACGTTGTTGGTGCTACCATTCTCACTGCCATCAGAAGGTGGCGGGGTAGAAGCGAAGGCTTGTTGCGCCTCGTCCACTAGGTTAAGCGTCAAGGGTCCATTTGAACCAGTCTTGGGATAAGTCAGATCGGGGATCTTCTGGGCCAGAGAGTCTGGAGGTGGTGTCAAGGCGTTGGATCGAGAAGAAGAATCGCGAACGTTGGAACGCTTTTGTAATTCTTGAGGGGGCACCGTCAGTTGGATGCCGGCTTTCCTGATTGCAGCCTCCAAAAATGATGTCGCAAAGTCGGCTGACGCGTAGATCTCCCTAAGACGTTGGAGAATACGCATACACTGGTAGAAGCGCTGCAAGCTCGTCATCCGGACATTTGGGTCGCTGGATTTGATATCGAGAAGGTGGATAATAACAGCGGGGAGGAGCACCGTGACACCAGTTGTGGGGAAATAGCGAGTTAGATCGAGACTATGCAGGTCTTGGGCAATGTTTGTGATCTCAATAGCAGCAAATCGAACCTTGTTGCGCGAGATATCTTGCAACTCCGTATCCATCGAGGGGAATGGAACGGCGGGGAGAACCTGGGGTCGATGCAAAGCACTCGAGGTTGTCAAGTACACCATCTTGAGCAGAGCTCGGTGAGAATGCAGAACCTGGTCAGCCTCGCTTAACTTGGCTGGCGCCGCAGAAGAGTATTGAATCTCTGTAGGAAGGTGGGCCAACCAATCCTCCAGCTCCTGATCACAGCGTCGAACTTCGAATGTCTCTGCTGCTGACTTCTTCGGTACCAGCATCATAGTAGTCTCCATCGTACCGCCAAACTTATGGCTCAAGACCGAGTACTGAGCAGAAAGAACATGGCTGACACAGAGACAAAGTTTTGCCTTTTCAATGAACATCGACGCTAGCTCTCGTTGGTGGGTTACGCTCTGGAGAATCTCCGAACTTCCCACCATGTTCACAATCTCGGGAGAAAATGGATGAAATTCAAAATCATCGAGAGTCAGCATTGGGACATCACAGTCATCATCCTTGACGCGCATAGGACGTCTCATTCCCAAAGCAATCAAACGATCACGAGTGTAGGTGCTCCACCAAATGCGCTTCCACATTCGTTGGCGCCTAATGTCCATGCGAGAGTTGGCGGGATCACGATGTAAGCCGATTGTGTGAGCCAAGGACAAACTAACCCCCATCCAATGCCAGGTATCCTTCTGGTCATCGGGGGTCTCGTACCAATAGGTCATTAAAAGGAGAGATTGGACAAGTGATATGCGGTCTACTTCGTAGTCGAAATCGTAAAGGAGCCTCGCACGCTGGAAGAATGCTTTTCGAGCCGCTTTTCGGGAGGAGTATCCTGAGGCCTGGAGGTGCTTCAAATCGATAAAGGCTGTTCCGGCGAACATGACGGCCTGGAAAAGCAATAAACTCATGCGACGGATGCCGTCGTTCTGGACGATGGTCTGCAAGAAATCTTCTAAATCAAGCAATGGCATGTACGTGTGAACATAGTGAATGTAAGCCTTAAGCAGCTCATTGCGCAATGTAACATCGGGCACCGTCAAAGCTCCTTTCATGGCGAGATAATCGATATCTTCTTTCTGTAACCGAGCTGGCAAGCCACGGATATAGTCGGGTAACACAATACCAGTAGGCCGGGGGCTACCAAAGGACGGATCGAGTAATTGCTGAATCTGCGAAGTGACATGAGACAAAGGCATGGTCGATGGCACCGAGGGGTTCGGAGCCATGCGTCTTCGGAACCGATCCCCAGTGTCAACTCTGTTGGCCTGGCTTTGATCTATGCAAGGAATAACTGATCAGCACAAGTATGTCTATAAACTCGTATAATATACAACGCCAGCGGCTGCTGTACGGGTACACGCATATACGAACATAGTAGGTGAGGCATATGCTGCCCTTGCTCCAAATCTACAGAGCCCTGAGAGGGGGACGTTGGTGCCACGTTTGTGATGCCATGAGATTCCCCAATCCCCCCAAAAAGCGCGCCGTCGTCGAGAATTTCGGCCGGCGACTGAGAGGGCTGAAAATTGGTGGTGTCAGTCTCAACTCGAGACTTCCTGTGCAGTCAAGCAAGTCAGCTATCGTTCTTCTCCAGGAAAGTATGGCATTCAGACGCACTTTCTCCGCTTGCTTTCTGTAACAACGCACTCTACTTGATCCAAGCGGCAGTTCGTGCACGGTGAACCATTTTCTACCACATCACACCGCACTTTACGTGCGCGGCAGCAGCAGCAAGCCTTTGAGGCTCGGCGTTTTACCGGGCGTGAATTCGCAGAAAGCCCCGCTGTTGAAGCCTTGCGCTTGCCCTTGGGGTCTGTGTCGAGAGTCGGATTTGGTGAAGTAGGGGAATCAGTCATTTTGCGTGGGGTGGGTCAATTATTTCGACCCTGTGTCATTCGTGAAGAACTAGGAGACCAATTGGTGATACTTGGGGTCTGAATCGACGACTGTCTTTGAAAATCCCGAAAGAATATATAGATAGCTGGCAGTCACGAGGGCAGTTGATTTCAGAACGTGACTCGACAATATTCACATGCAATAGCAGAAGAAGCAATAGTTAGGAGGGGAGATGGTCCTTTTCGTAGAACAGCTTTTTTTTTAAGATTATCAACTTTTTTTTTGCAAGTAGAGGGGGAGGTCACGTTCCCAGCTTCATCCGTCGTCCAAGGAATCGGAAATCGAGGTCAGGCCGGGGGCATGGGGAAGAGACAACATTTAAGTACGCAGCAGAATGCGGAAGCGCCTTCCACTGGACCGTCAGGAGGCGTTGGCGTTGGGGGATGATGAGTCCCCAGATCCACTTTACACTTGCCATCATGATTGCTGCCTCCCCCAGACCAGGACCGGGACCAGGAGTCCAGGACCAGACCCAGACCCAGAGGGATTGACCGAACCCCATCGCCATTCGCAAAGCGTCGACTCCGTAGTGCCGGCCAAGTGTAGAATTATTACCTCACAGGCTCACAGGCTCGCGGCGAAGAGCGGGCCAAGTTCGGCGGGGTCTGTGGCCTCTGTGCAGCGGGCAGCCACTCACTGCGGCAGCTTCACACTGCCGGTCCGCATTCCTCGCCCTTTGCACCAATCAACGTCCATATAATACGTCCCCACATCTGCGGATTCGAAAATATTCGCAAAATAATGATAATAAAATCGAGAAGCCGTTTCTCCCCCCACCACTTCCTAAAGAGGGAAAATGCCCCCATATTCCATAGCCGGTTGGGGTCTCTTCGGCCCGGTCACGTTATCCTCTAGCCACCACATGCAGTCTCTTGCAAGTCACGGGTGATGCTGGCGAATCGCATCCCCATCATTGGTCATTTATCGCCTGCTCCGGAAATTTCGGGCATGGCTGAAGTGTGTGGACGCTAATTGTATCTTGGTCTCTATATTATCTCCTACCGTGCGGCAGAAGAGCTGTGTCAGTATGAGGGTTTAACCACGTCTTCGGAAAAGATTCCGGTTCTTCTGGTTTTTTATTGGTTAACAACCGGGGGCTTGGACACTTCGGCCTCGTCTCCGGCGCGCCTTATTACTCATTCAGAATCGCCTGGGTCTTCTTAGACTGGAACAGGGAGCTAAAACATTATTATTGAGAGTGTCAAAAGCATCAAGTACCAATACAGCGAACCGATCATAGGCATCCCGATATACAGGAGCATTGTTCATAGACAGCTATTCGCATAACTCAGGGTCTTCACTGGCTGCCATGAACCGAGGTCCGCGAAGCATCAAGGCCGCGAGCGTTCCGGAGGCCGAATCCTAGCCAGCAGTTCTCACGGCACAGGGACAGCATCGCCGAGGGACTTGCATTATTAGAATTGCGATTGTCCGGTAGGCTTAGGCAGCTCGTCAAAAGCGGACTCATGAACCTTGCAAGGGTTTGTCCAAGTCACACTATTGACCAGGGCCGGAGAGATCGTCTGGGACCGGCAAGCCGTCGATGACGGGTCAGTGCAGGATTCAGGAACCCAGTTCTCCTTACGTAGGGCCCGCAGACCAGGCATTCCTTGCGCCTTGAGGAATCGACGGTAGCGTCTCTCATTTTTAGTTAGCTGGGCTCGGGATAGTGTCGGTTCTCCTTGAGATTCGAACTGGACCCCCGGCCAGATGTGGTAGTTGCCGCTTACAAGCCTACAAAGCCTGCTCCAGCAGAGCTCGCTTGGATGAAGAAGCCTGTATCCAAAACGGCACCCCGCCAACTGCCTCATGTGGAATAGAGCCGATAGTTGAGGATCCCCGAATCAGCGACCCACAGTCAACAAGGTGGACTGGAGAGAAGGAAAGTCTCCAAGGTCAAGCCCGCCAACGAGAAAGGTTTCAATAATCGATCACCCAGAAAATGTCGCACCGCGGCACCAGGGATCCAAGTCACAGCCAACTTTCCACCTGCAGGATAAATAATGGACATTGAGCATAGTGCCATTCAACCAGGATATCATTCCGTCTCTCGAGCTTGTCTTCATACTGCTTGACACTTGTAATGTAAGACGTAAGGTGCCTCGCGTTATTTTGAAACTGCCGACGCGAAGTCTGAAAGCCGAAGAACTCTTCGAGAGCAGGATTGCCGATGGTCGGAGGAATCTGCTCCGGTTCTTCCCAGTTTGGGCCAACTGCTGAAACCTTGTAGGTCAGCTGTAAAGTATGGCGCATTGGTAGCAGGTAACAAGACAATATTATATCTGGCTACTACTGGTCGCTTTTGCTACATCAGAATTTCTCTGGTTATGTTCAGAAAATCCTTGACAAAGATATCAACAATCCGCGCCAAACACCAGGGTCAAAGCCCAAGGGATCCAACCCGCGACAGTCAACACTTTGAAGCCCTTCGTGTAATTAGCGAAATTCGGAGCCGCGAGGGCGCTTACTTCAGGTTGTCGGCGGTCGCTGTCACATGAAGCCTGCAGTGTGTCGTCATCAGTCAAGATGAGAGATAATAGCTTCGTGAATGACCTCGACTCTGGAGCAAATCAAACTAAGACTCAGCTGTTGCTGAAAATGTCTGTAACCTGCGGGTCAAAAACACACTAACAAACACCACGGATCCTCCTCTGAAAACTCAACACCATCACGAGGCAACTGAGGTCAAAGTTCAGCCCGAGAAACGGGATCCTCACAGAAATAACGGTGCAACACCAATCAAGGCGGCTTTGGCGGATACCCATGTGGGACTAGGGGGAAATACAGCTTGGTTGACGGGGATGAAGGAGAATTTCTCCAGAATAATGAAAGGCGCAGGCCTCCAAGGTGGATGAGCGCCAAGCAGGTTCCAGACAACCCATCCAAAAAACCACAGATCGAATTTTTCCCCCAAGTTCCCCGTAAAATCCCCGTAAAATCCTTCGCTTCCGAGATTCCCCATCTGGTCACGCCTTGATTCTGAGACGGGGCGGCTCCAGCCTCAAGAGTATGCGAAGTGGCATCCAGTTTGGACCCTGAAGCAGGCCGCCTCCAACGTTCAATCTCCCGGATTGATCCCCGCCCCTCAATTGATGGTACAACTAAGATCAAGTACCACAAGAAAGCTACAATGCCTCGCCCTCAACTGATCAAATTGGCCGATTTCAACACCCATCGGACAACCCCCCGGGCCCGACCCAGCAGTCAACTCAGCTACTCCGGTCAACGGCCCGAAATCTCATCTACTTGCTTGCAGGTGCCAGGTCCAACCACCACTCAGGAGTGGGAGTTCCGGAGGCACGCACGGCCAATGCCTATGAGTAAAGGCATCGGATCCGATACCACGGGTGCTAGGGTGAGGTCATAGCTCAACCCACCCTTTCCTCTGTCTGGGTATCAACCTCCCTCAATCTCACCACTGACTGACTCGCATCCCCAATCGAACTTTCCAGGACAGAAACCGGGCGAGGGGAAAGCATGGACCACTCAAGCCATACAGGGAGCGTCCAAGTCGTCTCGTGCTCCAACACAAGCGGTGCCGTTTGTTTTAACCTCGCTGGCAGCCCTGTCTCTGCTGCTTTTTGGAGCTCCGCAAGCAACGACAGAGCAAAGCTCTCTTCTGTTCCCTCTGTCAGTGTCAACCCCTCCTCCTTGACGCTCTCAGGTATTTCGGTCTTGCCCGTTCACGGCACTGGTTTCTAATCGGCGACCCCATCAAATGCGGGGCAATGTATCCCGTGAGGCGTCAGACGCAACGCGGGGTAGTGAAGGAGGCTAACTGCGGGTTGCGGAGACCTCCCACTGACCACATCCATTGACCAGTCTCATCCTGACAACCCCACAAACAGCCATTGGCTTTTAGATGCACCCTCCAGCTATTATTGATGTGGATCGGTTCAGCTCTTTTGCAATATGCAAGGTAAATTTACCTGCAAACCCGACACCGTAAACGCCAATGGGTTGGCTTTTTACCGCTCTCCGGAGCATCGGCGAACCTCCGGGAGTGCTGGGGATTCCCCCAAGTTGGTGTTCCATTTTGATAAACGCGGATCGCCCCGTCAGCCTTTCTTCAATTATGCTTGTGAGCGCAGTCTGTGTTTCCAGTCCTTGGTGTGGTTGGGTTGTCGCCAATAAAATTGATGTTGTATTACTCCGTACACATATATATTTTGAACTCCGGGATGCGTTGAGAGTCCGATTGACTTCACCGTGGTAATCCCAGCTACCACGGCAATTTGAAATGCTTTTTTGTAGCACGGGTGTATCTGGAGCTCTAATTGGATCGAAACATCGAGGAGACATTATTATTATTTCGTACGAGACAAATAACAGCAAAGCGTTCGAGGATATCTTGACTCGCAACCAAAACAACCGTCATATGTACATACAGGGGTCCCATATACACTGACAGCAAACTCTGAAAAAGGGAAAAGAAAGACAAAGAAAAGGAAGACATAACATCATGGATATTGGGGATGAAAAGACAACAAAAGAAAAGAAACTCATCAAAACATTTCAATCCTTCAGCTAAGCAGCGCCTCCACGGCCCATTCGTTCGATAGAGCCCATGATACCACTGCGGCCTGGTGTGAAAATAGCAATACCGGACTTGCCACCGCTGTTCCCTCGCACATGCCGCGCCCCTGAAGCTCCGATTTTTGGGATCTTCCTCTCTCCGTGACCAGAGCTAGAGCTGGATCCTGAACTTGGGCCACGAAGACCGCTGGAGCTGCTGTGAGGGACCTCCCGCTCGAAATCATCCGTTGGACGAAGCTGCTCATGTGAGACTAGCTCCGGAGTCGTATTATCATTTTTGGACTGCGATGGTTGAGTGGATTGATTCTGCATCGTCAGCCACTCCTCCACGAGAGCTACGAGGTCGCCCTTCTCAGCCCTTTCTGCCTTGAGTTCGATACGCAACTGTTCGCTGTCGCTCTTCAGGGATAATATTTCCTGCCGAAGACCCTTGATTTGAGCCTCAAGGACGTGCTTCTCTGCTTCATGCTCTTCATTCTCACGGGCCATCATACTGGCATCAGGTCGCGCAGATTCCTGCGATGTGGCATCTCGCTCGGCTTTAACACGCTCACACTCGTCACTAGCAGCTTTCAGCTTTTTCTCGGCTTCACGCAAGCGTTTCTCCCAGCGTGACTCGTAACTCTTCTTAAGAGCTGCAACTTTGGTCTCATGCTTCTCCTTATACAGCGAGTGGAGATCACGGGCAACTTTCTCAACCGCGTCCTGTATTTCCTTTGCGGTCTCTTCTGCTGTCTTCGCCGACAATGGAGCCGCATTTTCGGACGCTCCTTTGTCGCAGGTTGCCGATTTACGGGCCGAAGTTAGTTGGGTTTCGAGCTCGACAACTCGACTTTCAAGCTGCTCCTTGCTTTTCTCCGCTTCCTCGTTTTTCTTCTGTAAGCGTTCACGCTCCTGTTCGCCCTCAAGGATATCAGCCTTGACAGATCGCAGCACATCCTCCATTTCTCGGCCCCTTCTCTCCCACTCTGCCTGCTCAATCTCCAGGGCCTCCTTACGAGCAGCCTCATTGCGAACTTCTTCTAATGCTTCTCCAACCCGACGTTCAGCATCCGACACGGCTTTCTTGAGACTAGAGACTTCAGCCTCTTTTCCACTGAGTGTAGCTTTGAGCGAGGATATCTCCGAGAGAAAGCCCGACTTCAATGACTCCAGCTCCCGAGGCGTGATAGTTGGAAGGGATCGAGGGGTGGGGGCGGCCGGTATATCAAAATCCAGGAGGCTCATTTTTGCTGGCGATCTCATTGATTCCCTCGGGGTTTTTAAAGGTGACCGGCGCGAAGGAGTGTATCTTTCATGTTGGATACTGAATCGTTGACGACGAGGGAAAAGACCGATTTGATCTGTCAAATCCAACAAATTTGGAGTTCCGTTCGTACTCTGATCATCTCTATCTCTCTTTCGAGGGGTGGGCGATCCAACAGGGGAGCTCATATCAATGAGGGCATTTTTCCTGGGAGACCTCTTCGGCGACTCCATACCCTCACGCCTATGTTCGGGTTCGACGGGGAAATCCGGCAGAGGTCGCGGGCTCTTGAATGGAGAACCCCCTGGTAGGTTTGCAAATGCCGTCATATCGACATTCGGAACCGCAGAGAATGTACTAAAGCATGTATCATCCATAGGGTCGTGAGACTCCTCATCAGTCATCGCGTCATTTGTGTCATCAACGTCCTGGCCGCTGCCGTCTCTCGAAGAGACCGGCGGCCTGTCCTCGCCAAGAACAGTGCTCATGCCTTCGTGTCGCTTTTCCTCCACCATACTGCTCGCAATGTTTTGGCCCCCACCGCCAGGGAAGCTTAGATCGTGACTATACCCCGAATCCTCGTCGGCATAGACATTGACATCTGGTATATCCCTCCGTCCAGGTGATTTCTTGTACCTATCACTTTCCCCGGTTTCGATTTCGTGAACATCAGGTGCTTGATCATAGGACCGTTTTCTGGGAGTTGCAGAGCGCTCAGACATACCCAGCGACGTTTGGTGCTTCTGCAACATCTGCATATCGACTGTATCGTCCCTCGCATCGAACCGGAATGGCGAGCTTTGTAGAGCTTGGTCAGATACAGAGTCATCGTTATCAATCTCCTGCCTCTGTTCATTGTACTCGGTAACGTCGTAATTGGAACTTTGGCGGATACTATTGGGGTCGTCATCAGTCCGTTGCGTCGGGCTGCGGAGCGGGTTCTCTGTTTCGATATTTGCCGCTAATAGCGTATCAATGCTTTGTCTCTTCGCCCCAGATCTCTCAAACTCTGACGAAATGGCTCGCGTGTTCTGCCGGGAGGCAGCCAAGGGTGAGAGAGGATTGGACATGGTCAACAGGACGTGTGTAGAGACGAGGAGAGCAAATGCAAAAGACAAATCAAACTAGACAAAAGTATTAAAGCAAATATGGCAATCAACTGCGCAAATGGCAGCACTATGAGTAATAGAAAGTGTTGTCGCTGAAAAAAAAAGGAAGTTGTAGGTTTGTTATGATGTCTTGAAACGGTTGCTGGGATATCGGTAAACAAACTATACCTAAACAGGATTTCGGAACCCACTTTTAGGGCGGTATATAGCAGCAGAACCAAATCTCTCTCACCGCGTTGGCAGCAGAGAAAGTACTGAGCACGGTGCGTTATTATTGAGAGTATAATGTTGCTTAACTTATCCCTTGCTGATTGAGATAGAAATTCACATCTCATTAACAGTCTATTTACAAATGCGCCGGGTAAATAAGGAAAAATAAAGTAACACCAACGCCAACACCAGCCGCATATCTAACATGTAATGCAAACAAATTCCTAAACACGTTTCCCAACCTCATCAGTGTCTGTCACAATTATATGAATGGTCTCCTTGGGGTCCTGAGATTGATCAGGCACAAAGTGACAACGAGCAACGGGTTGGATTGAGACCGAAGAATGTTTCTTTTGAGTCATGAACCAGAGCTGTAAAGCTCCAATAACCGCCACTAAAGCACTCCCCCACCATGCGATCGCAGTGAACTTGTGTTCAGCCCCAGTGCTGTATAAATATCCTGCAACAGGGGGTGCAACCGTGCGCGCAGCAGCACCGGCAGACGCAGCAAGACCATTGATCTTTCCAAGGCACGAATCTGAAGGACTCGCTTGTTTTATTAGTATTAAAAGAACTGGGAAGTCTATGATCGACAAAATGTTCCGCGTGACCAGACAGGTATAGATACCAAACAGGAGTTGCCCGTAAGGCAAAAAGACGAGAAATGGGACCATAAAGTAGGCCACAGGGTGGAGGATGGTGACAATTATAAACAATTTCCAGACTCCAAGACACTGCGCCAAAGCTGGAAAAATAAGGCTTTGGATGATAAGCGCAATAATGCCGTCAGAGGAGACAACCAGACCGACAGTCTTGGTTGAGAGGCCCAGTCCACCAGGGAACGTGAGGGCAGAACCATCCAGACTTGGATCGCCGCGTTGGTCTTGAAGGAAAATCGGTAGCAGGTGGTCGTATGTCATCGAGTGGTAAGTGAAGATCGCCAGAGCGACAATAAGCATGACAACCGACCGGGTGAAAGCAGTTTGCCTTTGCGAATCTGGTTCGGGTTTGGTTCCGTTCTCATCGAGCCTCCATGATTCGTCTTCATGTAACCGGACTTGGTTGAAAGTGCCATACGATTCGGCTCGCAGATCGGCACCTGGGTTGGCTGTTGCCCCGGAAGTTGCAAGAAGAGGATGCTCTGCTGACACACTATTGTATTCTCCTGAGTCACTCAACAGCGGTTGCATTTCGGGATGAGTCTCTTGAAGGAATAGAAAGGCGAAGATAATACTGCAGAGAAGTAAGATGGAGCAAACGACGTTCGGTAGAAGATAAGGAAATCTGCCAAAGAGCCCATCGCTTGGAAAGACAGAGGGATAGCTATCCGCGGGTTTCGCAAGCAGTCCACCGATGGCTGTGATAGCATAAAGGTTAACACTCGACTCCCCTTGGGACCTTCGTTATTCCATATGCTTACCAGGTCCAATTATGGTGCCAATAGACCAAACAAATGGCATCACGGCGTAAGCTCGAGCTAAGTTCAATCGCTGTTAGTCGAGGGTTGCCCTGTGTGGGAAATGGGCTCTACCTACGTTCATGCTCGGGCCGCTTGACTATCTCACCCACCATCGTTTGGATAACGCCTATGTTCCCATTCAATAGGCCTCCAAGTGCTCGACCAAATAGAGCGACCCAGTAAGTGCGAGCAAAACCAACAATTAAGAGGGAGACGATGGTTCCGGCTAACCCTGATATAACCACCGGCTTTCTTCCAATTCGATCGGAAAGGCCCCCCCAAAACATCCCTGTGAAGGCTTCAACCAAAGAGAATGTCGCGACGAGAATTCCAGCGTAGAATGATGCGTCATTGCCTTCACCCATGTTGAAATCTTTGACCATCGCGAAGGCGAAGATCAGCGGCGACGTAACCGCTATGGGTTCGGCGACTCGACATATTGCTAGTCGAAAAAGATAATGGCATCAGTACCTTAAGTTATGAAAATATGAGCGGCAAGGGACAAGAATACCTAGGAAGAATAGCTGTGTGGTTGGAAATTTCAGGTCATCGTCCGGTGTGGTGTTTCTTGCCTGGTGGGTTAATGACATTTTCTTTGGAATTATCCAAGTCTCTTACAACGAGCCCCCAACAGCACCAAAATCACCGCTCCTCCTCTTTACTTTTCTTTACTTTTGTTTTCTTTCTTTGTTTCTTACACCTTCTTGTTGTAATTCAGACCTCTGTCCTTCGTTAGAGTTCGCCTTTCACTTTTAGGCGTAGTATAAGATGGACCCGCAAGCCTTATTCTTGAGGTCTTCCTTGGTTTCAGTGGCTCTTATCCAGCCCTAGACAAATGAAACGGGGTAATTAGTGAGTGGCAGCCCCGGGGCGCAACGATGAATGAAATATCGAGCTGCTGCGTCAGGCTGGAGGGGAAAGCGAATGGATTCTCTCGGCGGGATGAAGAACAGAATGGGAGGATCTTTAAGAATGGCGGTGATGGAAAAGCGGAGAAGGAATTTGGTGGCCACCTGACAGTATTGGGAGCGAACCAGCTGCCAGGGTCCGAATCCTGTTTGAAAAGTTTTCGCGACCCAAATCCTTTTATGCACCAGGTAAATCCATGGAACACTCGGGAGTCGGGAACAGCACCCGCGGGGCGAGGACTGGCGAATTGCCACCATTTGGTATGCCCCGGTCTTGGCAAAGATAAGGCTGCATCGCATGCGGGTAGCGCCAACGCATGTATAGCGATAACGATATTTTGTTTGCTGTAACCTATGGTAGTTGAATCAAAGTCGCTTTGAAAGGGGAGCGTATTATCGGTAATGCACGATGGCCTACTCAGTAGATGTATAACCTCGGTGTAACGGAACATCAGGTGGGCAACACTGTCCTACTTCCTCAGCAGCGCGGCCCGTGGCACTGTGCGAGGGAAATCTCTTAGACAGATAGTCGTCATTTCATGATTTTCAGTCATGATTTTCAGGTTATCTGCTGCAAGCCCCCTAACCAAAGGAGTTCCCGCTCGCAAGCTATCAGTGAAGTATCTGGAAAGCGGCATACAACCGCACAACAAGGGGCTCCCAAATTCAAGTATGTATTTGCACCAAGGTCATATAATGTATGTATTCATCGCCTGCGACTATATATACATAACGCTTTTGGACCAGCAAAATAACGTCAAAGTCGAGGACTATTGGAAACTGGGATATAAGACCGTCGTTCTCTAGCAGCCTGCACGTATGTTAGCGCACGGAACTTCCAACCATAATTGCCAGGATAGACGGACGGCCCATACCTCAGTCCACTTTTGCACCCAGGGCCTGAGAACCGCCCATATTAAAAGACCCCCTGTGGCAATTATGAAAATTAAAACAATCGCCTCGTCCTTCCTCGAGTCCCGTTCTGTACGACCAGATGTGCGTTAGCTGCGGTCTCATCCGTAATAAAAAGTAGAGGCGTGTTCTCGCTCCAACATACGGAAACATGTCGTGGAAACATCCTCCTCCTTCGCACCCTTGCAGGTTGGCAAGTCGTAACCCAGACAGAACTTTCGGTTGCAGTCATTACAGCTCAGCGAGCGGTAGTTACCGGCGCGTTTCTCATCCTGTGTACCGCTGTCGTCGGTACGGCTGAAGGCGTTTAGCGCGCCATGTAATGACGAAGAGCCTCCCTTGTCGGGATCAAGCGGGATGATTGTGCTGTTCGAGAAGCAGGTGCATTTGCAGAATGAAGCGGGCGCTGGAGTAAGCAAGAGCTGTCAGTCGATGATGGACTAAACATAGATAAGTCGAATGAAGCGGGTCGGAGAAAGCATACAAGAAGCTAGTGTAGAGGATGCGAGGGAAAAGAATATGAGAAACAGAAACAGAAGGCGCCAATTATTAGTATACTGTGACATTTCGGTTTATTTATGCCGCCAGTCTAAAAGACGATTATAACCGTCTCCCTTCCAGAGTAATCATTGAGTGGATTGCTCGGGGAGGCCGCAGTTGAGGTTGACTTATCACTGTATCACGTGACACGATATGACACTAACTTTGTGTACTAAATACGTATCTCTACTTAATATCCACTCAATACCTCCAGAGCAGTCTTAATATATACGTTTTCAAGAGGGAATCCCAATATAGGTTAGAGATATTCTTATACGAGAGTATTTCAGTGTGACATTAAAATACTGATATTGTACAAATATCCGCAAGCAAGAAATGTTCAGGATTTCCCCTTCATTCCTTTTCGGCGGTTTTCTCTCTGCCTATGTTCTTTAGCGGCATCTCGTCTCCTCTTTTTCCAAGCACGATTGTTATCTCCTCGATTCTCCCAAAACCATTTGGCAAACTCCGAATCCTTTTCGGAACTAGCGGCTGACTTGGGCATTGGACTGTCGGTCACAAGATATTCCTCTCCAATGTTATCAGAACCCTCGGGGGCGTTCCAGTTAATGGTCCTTATAACTTGGGATGTGTCCGGTGTTGGAGCTGTACTCCGCGTCCCACGGTCTTGCAGATCCCTTTTGGTGAATGGAGTAAGAGGTACTATGTTTCCCGGACTCTCCTCTTCAGAATCTGCATCTTCTTGTCCAAAGAAACTGAACTGTGTAGGCGGCTCCGAGTCAGGTTTCTTCTGATCTACTGGTTTCTTGAAAAGCGCTTCTAGGGGGTGAACCTCCCCAGTCGGCTGCTGCTGGATGTTTGCAGATGTGGAACTTTCTCCAAACGATGCCTCTAGTTCCGCCCCGGACTGTTGTTCTTCTTTCGATCCATCGGATTCTGGGAGTTGATGCTGTTGTTTTGGGGGTGGGTTCATATTAGACCCTTCGGAGTTCTTAGACGAGCTAGATGAGACGGAGGCATCGTCCTCTGAATCTGTGGTATCAGATTCCGATGATGATCCACTGGATGAGGTCCAATCTTCTGATTCCGTCGATTCCGCCTTTTCGGGCTCTATATCGTCATGCCCGAGTTTGACTTTGGTATTCTTTGATTTTTCCTTGTGGCCTGTAACTTGTCCTGGCCGGTATTGATCTTTTCTGACCTTCTCGCTGGCCGACTCTCTCAGGGTTCCAGACTCATCCACCCAACCTTTACCGTCTTCAAATGCACAAGTTAGAGTACTGCCGCCGTCATTTGAGCGTAAAAATGTAGGATGAGTCGTGGTTTGAGAGAACTCATGTACAACCGTATCCGATGACGCTTTGCTCTTCTTGGATTGCTTTTTTGACTTTTCATCCGTAGACCCCGACTTGTTTGGTGGTAGCTTCGTCCGGAATAAGCACTCCTCTTTTTCGGTATACTTGGACTTCATTTGTTCTTTGGACCTCTTCTCCTTGTCTCTGGATCTCTTTTCCTTCTTTCGTCGCTCCGTTTTATCATTTGACGACTCCGTCCAGCCCCGTTTAACTTTGCGATCCGACGGAAGCTCGTAACCAACCAAGACAGTGTCTTCAGCCTTTCGCTTCTTGGATTTCTTGACCGAAGAAGATTTGTCGATTGACACGGTATTTTCCTCTTCTCCTTCATCCGATTTCCGTTTTTGCGGGCGGGCAGATTCTACTTTAAACTTCCGGCCTTTGAGGATGGAGCCATTTAGCTTCTTCTTGACCTTGTCGGCCTCCATTTCAGGTAATGTCACGTAGCCGTAATTGTTCTCCGGAAACGTTGGGATGTTGTGGAAGGACACGTCCGTTGCGAGAGAACGGACTGAGGGAGGCAGAACGAGGGGAAGGAGCTCTGAGTTCAACGGCGTAATATGCAGGCGAATCGTGGCTTGGGATTGGGAAGTCATTTGCCGAATCTCCGTAATAAGGGCTACTTAGTTATAGCAAAATTTGGTGACGAGGAGAATTCGCTGCTGCATTAAGGTTGGCTTATGTATTTGCAGAATGAGTGTTGGAATAAAAGTAAGTTGCACATGTAGTAAATCATGCGTAGAAGCCATTTAGCATATCAAATCAAACGAAGAATAGAGTGCCATATTATCGATGTTCTCGAACTCAAACCTACTCCGTATAATCAAAAATGTCTCGTGAGGTTTTTTTTTTTTTTAATTCGGCAGAATACCAGACCGACAAAACCGATCGGAGCGGTGGCGCAGTAAGTAAAGAATGTCTCAGCCACAAGTGACATGTCGTGCCAAGGCCTTCATACATCAAGTGCGTTCCGGCCGCATGAAAGCCTCCTGGACGGGAGGTTCTTGTTTGTCGGTAGACAGTGCCCTTGTCGAGCTGTCATAACAGACTTGGTCTCCTTCGGTATTATGACCTCGTAGATTGTTTTCTCCTTGTAACGGACGCTCTGGTGTTATAGAGGATCTTCGGTCGCAGACCCCAGGACGTACCCCGGAATAGTGAGCCCTGTTCTTATGTAATTATTACCCTTACATTGGCCGTACCCCATTATTACACCCTATTATTGTACTCAAACAGGTGAACAATCGATCTCACTCTCCGCCCCATGTCTCCTCCCCGTCCCAGACGTTCATTTCATCGTCTTCTTTGAGATTTTCATCCCCTCAGCCCTACCTTCACGACCTATACTCACTCTGGCTTTTGATATCAGATTCTTCCGCTCCTATTCGACCCCCTTATTTTCTCTGGCAACCTGTGGCTGGTTATCTCATTCCGTGGTTGACCGAGAGTTAAAACAAGGCATCTGATCTCATCGACGCTTCCCGCTTCCCGCTTACAGCTATCGCTCTTATGGCCACATTGTGTTCGTCGTCGTCACTCCATCTCTACCCCTGCTTTGCCAACTGAGGTCGCTGTTTTTTAAATTAGCGACTAGGGTTGGACTTCAATTAATTCTCGCACGTTGAGCCCCGTTACCCAAATACTGGCCTCTTTCGTCGCTCACTATCTCCGGGGCAGGTGTCGTCTCCGCTCTCTTATCCGAGCCTCGCAATCTGCCCCATTCCACCCGCCTCCGGACCGACCGGTTACCAACCTCCCTCAGTACACCTCACCACTTCTCATATCAGCCAAACCACAAGATATTCTCGGGAATGGGTAATTCCCAGACGAAAGAGACTCGGCCGTCTCATTCGCAGTCAACCCGCCGAAGTCACCAGTGGGGTTCTAGCAGCCATGGAAGATCTCCATACAGCGACAGGCATCACTCGGAGGGCTCTAGATCGCATCGAAGTAGCAGGCCGGACCTGTCAATTCTCGGCATAGGCGGAAGCTCAGACCGTGATCGTGATCGCGATCCGGCCACAGTACTTGAACATCGACGAGAAAGCAAACAGGAGCGAGAAGCTCGTCGTTTAGAGAAAGAGCGTGCCGCTCGTCTTAAGGAACGGGAACGGAGTATGAGGGATGAACATGTCGATGGAGGTTACTTGGTCACGCAAGGCGTTTACACTGGGTCTGAAGATTTCAATAAGGCTATCGTTCGCCAATTGATGGTAATATGAGGTGTGCTTGTTTATCGTACCGGATGATACTGACTCCTTTGCCTTATCAGATTGAACGACGACTTGCGCCGTTTTGGAGGGGCCTGAATGATTTTTCAGATTCATGGACCGAGCATCAACTCATGGCTGTGGCGCGTGGGTTGCCAATACCTGCACCGGATGAGATACCCCCCGAACTGGAGTATAAGAATCCCCCAAAGGCGCCTGAGGAGGGAAAAGAAGCTTCAGATCCGAGTTCTATCCAGCACTTGACGGTTCCGATAACATCCCGATCTGCATCCTATGGTTCCGACGCTTCTCATTCGTCTACGCCGAACCATTCTTTACCTTCCCCTGCTTCGCCCATTGCATCTGGTACCTCTAGCTCGCCTTTATTTCGGTCTCGGGCGAAAACGCTAGCTTCGTTGACGACTTCCAGACATAACTCCCAGACCGAGTCAGCCCCCCGAGAAATGCAACTGCCTCGGGATCCATTCGTCAATGGCCAACCCGTTGAAGCGTACCTGTACAAGGATGCCTCCGAATGCCCAATCTGCTTTCTATACTACCCTCCCTATCTCAACCGCACTAGATGTTGCGACCAACCTATTTGCTCTGAATGCTTTGTCCAGATCAAACGCCCGGACCCTCACCCACCAGAGCATGCAGACTCGGACTCGAACGCTGCGACCCCGGCCAACGAAGCTGAACGACAGGAAAACCAAGATGTCCAACTCGTTTCTGAACCCGCCGCCTGTCCATTCTGTGTGCAACCTGAATTTGGCGTTACATATTTGCCCCCGTCATTCCGTAGAGGTTTGACATATGCATCGGACCCAAGTGGTCGTCCGAACATAGCAACACCTGTGTCTTCGACGTCATCGCTATCTTCGGCAACTGCCCCTGCTACTAGCCGTCGGCGCGCAACATCGTTGTCTGCGACTGATCCGGCCGTAATCACTACAGATAAGGTGCGGCCTGATTGGGCTCAGAAATTGGCGAATGCTCGTGCGCATGCGGCACGAAGATCAGCAGCAGCAACTGCTCTACATACAGCGGCATATTTGATGAACTCAAATGGATCCGGAAACGAGTCACGGGGCTTTACTCTCGGCAGGAGAGGAGTGATGCGGCGAAATGGTGGACAGGATTCCCCAGGCACACCTAACCGGGGTGCATCACCAGCATTACAAGCGCTTGCATTCTTGACAGACAGGCGCGGTCCCCCGCCGGAAACAGACTCGGCTGAAGAGGGAGCGGGAAATCTAGCTCCGCCGCGAAATAGTTCGAGGAGGACGCGTATGGATGATTTGGAGGAGATGATGATGATGGAGGCCATTCGTCTAAGTCTGGCGAGTGAGGAAGAAAGGCGCAAGAGAGAAGAAAAAGAAGTGCGAAAGGAGGCAAAGAAACGAGGAAAGGAGGCCAAAAAAGCGGAAAAGGTGGCTCGTAAAGCGGGCTTATATAGCAACAACGCGAGTAGCTCGGCCCTAGACGCAGGGACAGATCCCAGATTGGGGAAAGCTACAAGCAGTTCGTCTTCTATTACCGGCGAAGAGGCGATAGAGGCGACTAATACTCCTCCCGGTAAAGGAAAGGCAGTGGAGCGAGTTTCGCCGCCACCCGGTAACGCTGACCTAGCGGAGCCTGCCAGTTCTAGTGACATACCGACCAGTCTAGAAGAGCAGCAGCAGCCTCAGTCATCATCCTCGCTCGGCCCGCCGGGGCCTCGGGAGCCTACCAAACCATCACACTTGAGACACGTCTCCAGCGCTTCCTCGTCATTTTCGTCTCTGGTTGAGTCTACACCTGATGAACCAGGAGCTTCAACCCTCCCCGTGGAGGGTGCCAGCTCTTCGGCAGAGCCATTGTTCAACTTCCGCAGCCTAGCTGCTGTTATTGGCGATGAGGAAAAGGCGGATGAATCCGCCGAGCACGTTGAAGACACCACGTCTCGTCCAACATTGGAAGCTTCAGCATCACATACCCCGGGTACTTTAGCCCCGACTAGTGAGTCTCTGGCGCCGAATCCTATTGCAGCAGTGGAGAAGGGTTCGAGACTTGAAGAGAATCAGGAATACATGGGCCCCAAAGAGGTCGCAACACGATCAGAGGAGGTCATTAACAACGGAAATACCGAAACCACCACATCTTGACATTTCGCCTATCGTTTTCGAATGTTGTTAACCCCCGGGCTATTGTCACCAGCAATACAAGTCGTTTCCTGTTTCATTCATTGATTTCTTGAGTGAAAAGCGACATTCATTTTGTTTCATTATTGCAATTATTGCATTCATTTTGTGGACGTTTGTTTTTCATCATTGGCATAACTGGATCGGAGGTCTTTTTTGTTATACATAGTGCTATAGATTTTTCCTTTTTTTTTCCTTTATGTTTTTACGTGTGCCGTGGGGAAGGGCAGTCAGATTGCATATTTTGTTACAGCGAGAGTGCAGACAGAGGCTCAATGGTGGGTGCAAATGTGAAGCAATGAATCACTCTTGGAATAGTAAAGTACGCTTCAAGGATAAAGTAGTGTTGAAGCAAGTAACAGAGCCGAGTCCGAGTGGCCACTGGATCTCGGACTTTGCCTGTCAATACAAGAATAAGATTTTTTCATACGTCTGAGGGAGTGCTAGATACTCTGTACTTGGTGCTCTGTGTGATTGCGATCACTCTCAGACCAAGACGGGGAGATCAGAACCAGGAGGATAATCAAGCTTGGTTTCAAGGACCGCCGCTCCACCACGATCGGAGACACCCAGTTCCGCCAGGAATCCGGGATGGCGTCGAGTCCTCGGGCCGTTTCCAGCAGGGAAGCGGTGAATGCTGAAATTATAAATGATAAGTCAATAATATGATTATGCAGTTGCGATCTCGATGTCCAAGCGCGAGACACATGAAACATGGGGCGTGAGCAGGCATTGTGCCACCATCATCATTGTCCGGAGATCGGCATGCATGAGCCTGCATCGTCTCAAAGATCTAAGAAATGAGGAATCTCAAATTGCCGGTCTCTGGCAGTCAGGCGGATGTCTGATTGGGGCCCAAAAATGGGACTCCCAGACAACTTCAATAGTTTGTGTTGATTTAATTTCACTGGCCATCGCCAAGGAGAGACGAGATGGGCTCCCGCAGACGACACGATGATGGACCCAAGTCAACCAGCCCACGCGCGCCAATCACTCGACCTCAGCTCGTTTCGGCTTCTTTGGACTGCCAGTTTTGGAAGATTTGGACCCCCTCTGCGGCCAATCTGAGCATGACAACAAATAATGAGCAAACGCCGATGCGCTGCGCAGCGAACAGCGCGAACTCTGGTGCGACTCCGGGGTCAGAAGCGGCAGAAGAAGCAAAAACGAGGCAGCAAGAACGATCTCCGGTTGACTGCCATGCTTCGGGTCCCTGAATCTCGCAATCTGATTCCTTGGCCGAAGAGGCGACCAGGCCCACCGTTGTGATGTGACAATTTAATGAATGGGATTATGGATCTGATATAAAATCTCGCGGTGGATCCGTGGTTCAGGCTCTGCGAAATCCTGCTTGTTCCTGGATCTCTCAAATAATCTGCTCCATTTCTTTTTTTTTTTTTCCCTTTCCCGCCCGCATTTCGCCCTTTTGTTGGTTTGCTCGGTGTTATTCCCCTCAACGACATTTCCCATGGTTGGCGGGCTGCTGCTTATCGACACCACAGCACTCTTGAACGGGTTTACATACTAACCCAGTCGCAATCGCAATCGCAGTCGAAACCGCAACAATTCCGTTATCAAAAAGCAAAATGGCTGTTTTGGACAAGGATCGTCCTCGCGGCCTGCGAGTGCCTTCTCTTTCCTCCTTCAGATCTAAGCACAAGTCGCCAACAGAGCCAGCCCCCACGATTCAACTGCCTTCGGCGTCGCATTCATCTCTCCAGACAGACTCCTTTTCGGTGACTTCTTCGAAGCCAACGGAAAAGACATTGCCGCCCCATCCGCAATTCCCCTCGCAACAGGCCTCCTCACCTGCATTGGTGAATCCATATCCGTCGCCACCGCAGGTATACAGCAGTCAGCCTACTCGCGGGCCTGTTCAGAACTCGAACCCAAGCCAGGCCATTGGCAATGATGCCCCCCTCCCTCCTCTACCAGCAGACAGGCCTATGCCCCGACCCTTCCCTCAGACAACATCACCACCGACCAGGCGCCCGATTCCCGGGTCTGCGCCAGCGCCGGCGGCAGCACCAGCGGCAGCACCAGAGCCGCCGCAAGCACCAGTATATGCACCTGTGCCTGTTCCGCCGGTGAACCCAACTGTGGTGCAACAGAGAACGCCACCATCAAGCGACGAAGAGCCGGACCAGAGACATTCCAATGGCACAAACGACTCATTAGAGGGCTTCATCCCGGAGCCAGAGCCAGAGCCAGAGCTAGATGGCACTAATGGTGCACCGAATGAGGCTGGGTCCAGCGAGGAGGATGATAGACCCTTCACGCCGCCAGAAGTTGAGCCGGTTTCTGTTCCCCTAAATAAACTGCACTATTCCTGCTACCAGGAGCACCGCGCGATGCCCATCGCTAATAACGTGTGGTATGCGTTGCCCTGCATGACTTGTCAGAAGTTCGATCGCGAGATCCGACATCGATGTGTTTTTTGCTGTCTGCGTGTCTGTGCAGATTGCTTCCAGGCACTGAAGAACTGTCCACGTCGTTCGCTGGCACAGCTGATGGAAACGATTTCAACGAACAGAGATGCAGAAAACCAGGCATCTGCTCCAGAGATATAATGCTTGCTTTGTGTGGGAATGCTCAGTTTCGATATACATACATTTAGTGGGGCCATCTATTTCGTTTGCAGTCTCTTGTTTACTTTTCTCACATGTCGCCTGGTTAGGGATTCTATTCCGAATGTTTCCCCTCGTTGTAAATGACCATAATACCCCGTTAGGTTGATGATTTATTATTTACGATAAGTGTCTTAATGCCAAATACATTGATTCTATACCCGTGGTCTATAATAGCAAACTCCAGTTCCAATGCAAGGTGAAAAAAAAGGGCAGTATGTAGTATACAGAAGGTCGTTAATCGTGATCTTCCTCAGTCACACCTGGACATCCTTCCATATCAGCTGTGTCGTAGCTATACTTGCACCAAAAACAGTAACTATGCTTTTCGCGGAGGTACAGCACTATTTTCGTCAACCGCTCAGCCGGATCGAGTGCGTTGAACTCATCGAGTTCTGGGTCTTCTTCCTCAAGCTCTTGTTCGAGAACAGTAGACAGGTCGCGCCCACCACCAAGGGCTTCCTGGTCCTCTTGATCGAGTGCAGGATCGTCATATCCCGGTAACCGTGGATTCGGGAAAAAGGACGATGGCAAGGACGTCTGCAGCATATGTCGGGTCTGAATGGCGCGTTCTTTTTCTTGTCGTTCACGTACAAGGCCCCGATACAGCACATTGATTTGAGATGTCGGCTTAACCTTGGCCTTGGACTGGGTATCTACCCCTCCAGTATCCGATTCTTTACTGTTCTCACCCTCCTCATCCTTATTCTCGACATCGTTTGTAGTAAATAAACTTGTTTCTCCATTCTCAGCTGCATCCAATCGCTCCGCGACCTTTTGCGCAGCGTGGAATTGCGCCTCGGTCCGTTTCGTTTCACGCTCTAGACGTACGCGGTCTCGATAATCGCCCTCCTCGGCCTTGACCTTCTTTGCAGCCTCCTCAGCCTCCTCCCGGAACTTGCGCTTCCTCTCGTTATCCAGGCCTATCCCGCCGCGGTCTTCCTTGAAAATTAAGTTCAGTGGCTCTGCGCGCGACCGCGCATTGGAGCCACCGTCATCTTTATCGAGCGGCAAACTAGCGTCATCTGAAGGTTTACCCAAGGTCTGTCCCGGCTTGAACCCGAGCTTCGCCATCATCTGAAAGCCCTTATTCGAGGGGTTTAGTGTGCTGGTTGCTAGGGCTTCATCGCGTTTAGCGGCTTCCAGTGCGCTGCGTTCGGCTTTGGAGGGGACTTTTGCGCGGGCTTCGGCCTGTAATGAGAACGAACAGGGTTTAGTTAGCGGGGGTCTGCGACTTGGTTATAGCCGCATGACAGTGCGGCGAGGGCCTGGGACTTGCCTCCCGCTGAAGCCGGCGCTTCTTTTGCGTAAATGTCTCCTTTTGTTGTGGTTCCTCGATGACCATGGACATGTAGTCATCTTCGTCTTCTTCCGCGGCCATTCTCGTGCGGGGTTGCCGTGTGGTTTAAAAAAAAAAAGCACCCCCCCAAAAAAAGATGGGTCAAAGCGCCCTGATATAACTGACGGGGGAGCGAAGAGGGCGATCGCCAGAGGTATTTCCCTTTTGTCAAGTAGCAAGAGACCGGGATGGAGGCGACAAAGAAAAGTGACTTGAAGTTCTGCGGGGAAGACGCCGATGAGGAGGAATGGGTTTTTCCCACTCCGGCCAAGCGCTGTTTCTCCATCCAATCGACAACCCAGTCAGTTTGACCCCAGTTCAACATGTCATTGTCCAGCCGCTTAGTTCGTTCCCTTGCATTTGTTTTGGCCATCGCGTGATTGACTACTGACTCGCTTCTTGAGCGACAGCCTTCCTCAAGATGCGGGGTTTACTCGCGAAGCAGCCGGGCTGCAAAGTGATTCCCATCGAATGGCTACACGCAGGATACCATCCACTGAATTGTGCAGCCGCTTTCGCACGTCGGAATGGCCGCAGTAACTGACGATCTATGCAATGTGAGACTGTGATCGGAAGGGGCGTGGAACTTCAAAGCAAATCCCTGGCTTCTATCCAGTGTCCAGGTATTTATTGTGGCGATCCCAATGTGGCTGCGATAGTGTCTGGTCGATCAACAATCCCAATCGAGGGCTTCTCCACTGGATTTTGGGAAGCTGGGAGCCAAGCTCCGGTAAACACCATACTACTAGTCAAGAAATCGGAATTTTCGGCTGCGTCGTTAAAATTCAGCCTGACTTGTCTAGTCCAATTCTTTGTTGGCCAACCTGCCAATATGTGGGGAGATTCAAGAGGAGCCTTTCTCCTCGACTTTCCAATGGCTAGGGCCTGAGAATGCTCCTTAAAAGAGAGTCCGAGACCCCTCGTGGCCCTGCTCGGTGTTAAATTTTCACCGTCCTCTTCGCGTCTGGATTGCATTTCTTTTAAATACCCAGTCCTAGGCGCAGTTCTTAACGCACCATATAGCCTGGACTGCAGTGACAAGAACTGCAACTCGGACGATGTTAGGACACCTAGCCGTATTGACAGTACTTTGCGCACTGGCTTCTGCCAGACAGGCTATTGTAGACCTCGGATATGCAAAATACAGAGGAGAAGCAGCTTCGAACGGTGTTGCACAGTGGCTAGGGATACGTTACGCTGCACCCCCTCTTGGGCCGTTGCGTTTCTCTGCGCCGCAAGACCCTGAGAGGGAGCATGGGATTCAGGACGCGTCTCAGGTACGTCTCTTATTCAAATCAAAGGGCTGATGCTGACGATGAAAGTAGCATGGGCCCCTCTGTCTCGCGACTGATGAATATCCAATCCCAGCGGGCGTGTCTGAGGACTGTCTCTTCCTTGATGTTTACGCACCTGCACGGTTCAGAGGAGTAACGCCAAAACTCCTACCTGTATACGTCTTTATCCAGGGTGGCGGTTACAATGTGGACGGAAATCCCTATTACAATGCGGCGGGCCTGCTTCACGCCTCTGATATGAACATCGTCGTTGTCACCTTCAATTATCGGGTCGGTCCGTATGGTTTTTTGGCCGCTTCTGAAATAAACGAAGACGGCAGCGTAAACAACGGTCTCAAAGATCAAATCAAGGTCCTTGAATGGGTCCAGGAGCATATCGGAAAGGTAAGAGCATCGGCCTCTTATGAATACTATAAAGTTGACTTTTTTTTTCAAGTTCGGGGGAGATCCAAACCATGTGGTGGTGGGTGGTGATAGTGCAGGCGCGGCCTCCGTAACCCTACTTCTCTCCGCGTACGGTGGCCGGGATGACGGCCTTTTCCATGCTACTATCGCCGAGTCGCAGAGTTTCGCGCCCATGCTCACCATAGATGAGTCACAGTTTGCTTATGACAACCTAGTCTCCCGAACCGGCTGCAGCACGGCGGTGGACACCCTCGCCTGTCTCCGAGGCCTCGATATCGCAACCCTCCAGCGCGAAAACATTGCCACGCCACTTCCTGGCGCTCTAGAACCGCCCCTATACTTTTACGGGCCCGTGATTGACGGCGACCTTGTGCCTGACTACACGTACCGCATGTTCGAAGAAGGCCGGTTTTTAGAAGTTCCCGTCATATTCGGCGACGTCACTGATGAGGGCACAGCCTTCGTCCCCGCAAATCTCTCCTCTATAGCAGCCGCAGATAGCTTCCTCCAAGCACAGTTTCCCGCGCTTAAACCTCAACACCTCTCCAAGATACACGATTACTATCTCCGAAATATCAACTCTAGCCAACTTTACCCTAACGCCACTCGTTACTGGCACCCAGTAAGCGACGCCTACGGCGAGCTCCGCTACAAATGTCCTGGGATTGCCTTGTCGAAAATATACGACAAGGCCGGCGTCCCAAACTGGAACTACCATTACTCCGTTCTGGACCCGGAAGATCAAGCTTCGGGCAAAGGAGTCTGGCACGTCGTTGAACTTAACGCAATCTGGGGACCAGAAAATATGTGGTGGTCGGATACCATCTCGAATCCACCGCCAGCGTCTTATTACACGTCTAATGCGCCCATAATCCCACTCATGCAAGGTTACTGGACGAGTTTCATTAGGAGTTTTAATCCGAACACGCACCGTTACCCGGGGAGTCCGAAGTGGGAGACTTGGAGTGGTGGTGGTGGTGGAAAAGGTGGAGAAGAGGGGCATCAGCGCCTTTTTATTCGGACGGGAGAGACGAGGATGGAAAGTGTGCCGGAGGACCAAAGGGAAAGGTGTGAGTACCTTACTTCGATTGGGGTGGAGTTGACGCAGTGATCGTTTCTTCCCATGTGAATACATTGTGGCTATTTTGTCCTAGCCAGATAGTATATATTAATCAATACAAGGATACTGATTCCAAGAGTAAACTTTTTTTCCCCTGACAGTGCTCGTAAATACTATATACATAGAGCAAACAATGTACCGATGCAAAAATAACCCATGTAAAAAGCGTAAGATAGGCATATGCATGACTAGGTAGGCAAGCACTACCTAGATAAAAATATAGAAATGCAAGTGGACAAAATCTATCGCTTCCCCTGGCGCATCCTCTTCTCCCTTTCATAGGCATTGGCCTCTCGTCCTTCTTCGTTCTGCACCTCCGCAACAAGTCTCTTATACTTCCGCTCGTACTCGGCATCCTTCTCCTTCTTCTCACGCAGCTTCTCCCTCGCAACAAAGTTCGCATCTTTCCGCAGCTCGCGCATTGCGCCCTTGCGCTCGCGCTTAAATTCTGCCTTGAGGCGGTTGAGTTCTGCACGCTCGCGGTTGGGGTCGTAATGCTTGTCAGGGTTGAACGAGTCCTCGAATTTGGGAATTGCCGTTTTAACGGCGAGTGGCTTGTGGTTGTGTAAGAGGAGCGGTCGGCGGGCGAGGCGGGATTGGGAGAGTAGCGAAGAAATTTTGTCAATAGTGATTTGGAAAGTATCGAGGGTAGACGTGGGGACTAGATTCTTCTTCTTGTTGGTACACGAGCGGGAGACGAACTGGAGAACGGCCTGAGCTTGCTCGAAAACCTCACTGGACGCGGACTTGGTGGACCAGAGATCGGAGGCTGAGCTGAGGAGGGAGGTTAAAGTGGTGATTAAAGAGAGTTTGAGCTCTTCTTGTTTTGTGATGGTTGGCTTTTCTTCAGTTATATCCCAGAACTGAAGCTTTCGGGTGATTAGTGATTTGGAGGGTTTAATATGAAGGGGCACTGTGGGTTTTCGAAGAGGGAAGGTCCCTAAATTGGAGGGGCCCTCCTCGGGACTGAGAATGCACAGTGCGTTGAGGACGTAGTTGAGTAATTCGGGCATGTAGCGCTTCGAGACAGCTTGGTATTGTAGTGCTAGAGTTGCAGCGTAGGTGCCCGTACACAGATCAGAGAGGGAGTTTACGGGACCTTGTCCAAGATACCGTGCAAGACAGAGATGAGCTGGTGTAGAGACAGCATGGAAATGGTCCGACGTCGGGAAGACAGTGGCAATCCCAGTTAAGATAACAAGGTCTCCGGGCCGAAGGCTGAGTGGACGGTCCGTAGCCATTTCACGTAGCTGAGCTCTGAAGGCTAGGGATACGCTTTCGGGGTGGCTCTTTGCCAAAGAATGGATGTGACGGAGAACGTTCTCTAAGATAGCGAAGGGAGGATGTTCGGATTGTTCAGCCATGTACGCAACATGCTCAACGAGGATTCCAGCGAAGCGGCCAAGCTTGGTTTTGTTGTCGCTGTGAAGACGCGGGTGATGCAAAGCTCTAATTCGCTGGACGATGGTCGGTAGATCCTCATAAGAAACATCCTTGACTATCTGAAGAAATTCTTCGTGACTGCTTGGACATGGATATGTATATGCAAGCCCATCATCGGTAACTTGAGCACCCGGACCTACGGTTGAATCGCCCGATACGCCACCTGGCATAGTAATCCCGTTGATAAGCTCGTCCTCCTGGTCTTCCTCTTCTTCAGACTCATCGGCGGAATCACCCATATCGTCAGCCTCGTCAAAAGATGCGCTGACGTCCGATCTCGTCTCTACAAGATCGTCGAGAATAAAGTCGTCCTCATCTTCAACACCGGTAGGGCGAGAGGTTGAATAATTCATAGGCTGCTGCAGTCCGAAATCCTTCGCATCATCTGGGAGCGATTCGTCCTCAGACTCTTCTGCATCTTCACCCTCAGACTGTTCCTCAGTCGCGTCTAATTCATCCTCACTAAGCTCTTCCCCGCGCATTCTGCGAAGTCTTTCTTCTTCAAGCTTCTTCAACCGCTGTGCTTCTTCTTCCACCTTTTCTTCCTCCGTTTTCGTTCGGTCTGTGGGCATCGATCGCTTGTCGAATGTCAGTTGTTTCAGGCGTTGATCGTACTCCTTTTCCAAGTCTCCCTGCGATTGGCCTTGCAATATAGCTGCGCGGTCTGGGTTCATCGTGGCAAAGTCATCCTTCGGCGGTTCGGGTTTCGAAGGGGGTTTCACGGATCTGAGAATATCGAAAAGATCGGGTAGACCTTTGTCTAATTCTTCACGTAGATCATCGTCGTCCTCTTTCGCCATTTGCCGCTGCGCCTTGTGGAACTTTGACTTGGCAATGACTTCTTGCATGACTTCATGTTTAGACTTCTTGCGTTCCGGTACTTCTTCCTCATCCTGTGAACCAGGATCTTCAATTTCGCCGCCGTCAAGGATCCGTTTCCGCTTCCGAGGCATTTCAGAATCCGACATGTCACCCGCATCCACATCCTCTTCAAAATCATCTTGGGCGCCGAGCCCTTCCCCAAATGATAGCGATTCACCCTTGTGCGTAAGTTGGAATTCTTCATCATCATCATCCTCCTCTTCGAGATTGAACATCGAATCCTTGCGAAGTTTCTTCTGGCTTGCTCTGGCAAATCGTTCCGCGGCTCTTTCTTCCGGCGTCATGGTTGGATCGTTCTCACCAAACCGACGATCCATAATACCACCAACTTTATTTTTGCGATTCATCTCGTGTAACAAAGTTTGACGTCTCTGGCGGATGTGTGAGCTGCATCAATTTGGAGGGGGTTACAATGAACATACCTTCTCTTCACCAAGAGATTTCGTAACTCCGGGCCGAAAGCTCCCTGCAGCAGATTTAGTCGGACCATCTCTCGTAGTCACGTCGAACTTGTTGCGGGAAATTGTTCTTATTTCGAAGGGGTTGAATCGCTCTCGAATGGCTTCCAGAGCGCTCTCGCGCTGAGCCCGGTTCTGCGCATTTGCACCGGTTTTCGCATTTTGGCGCTTCTGCTTTTTGGATTTCTGAGGACCTAGTACGCCATTATCGCGGAGGGAGGTCTTCAGCTGCTTGAGCTGCGATGGAGGCATGATTGCGTGAGGGGGCCGTCGGTGCAGTGGGAGCTCTTTTCGAACTTCGCCGAAATTTTTGGTTCGCAGAAAAATATTGGTACACCGCCTCGTGGTTCTGCCGCCATATGGTTTCCGCTTTCCGACGTCCCATCCACGATGACATCTACAATGATGGATTGATGACCAGTATGATGGCTTCTCATATGAGCGATAAGGTATTATGGATATGCCTTGGTATGTAATTGGATATCACTTATGTTCTGTTTGCATCAGAGCTGACATGTATAGGTGTCTCTCTCTTCTTTGCTGTCCGCGGGATTGCGGCCGATCTCCAGAGCGTCAACGAGTTGACTGAAATTAAGAATAACGACAGTGATGACAAGATCATCAGTGAAGGCACAGAAGACGGTACAGAAAACACGCAGTATTCCCTTTGTACATACTTTACCTCGGATCTGACACAGCCCAGCTCTTAAACTAGACACTTTATTGAGACTTTCCAATAGCACAAGCTATGACCTTCGTTCTGCGTATGGAGGCTGACCTACCTTATTAGAGCGATAAGCTGACTTGTCCGCTTAGTGCGCTGCGCATCATCGCCGAGCGATCTGTTAAGGCAGATACTCGAAATTTATTGCTAAAAGATTTAGCAAGCAAGAACCCCGAACGACGAAATAAAGCGATCCCCGCGGCATTCTTCTTGGTGTCGAATCGAGCCCGTACGTACTGGCGCACGTTTGGCGAACAGTGTATATAGTGCTAATTTATATAGTTTCTCGTACATCGGTATGCTCTCGATTGAAAGATTTCGCCACATACACAGCCCTCGTTGACTGTCTTTGCAATCTCCTCGGCGAGCATGTTGAAAAAACCTCGGACACGGTCTCCCCGATATTCCCTAGGACACGACCCCCTGGAGAAATAAAAGCTATGAGAACACTGAATATACTTCTTCAAGAGAACACTCCAGCAGCGCTGGAGGCCGGCATAGTCAGCCGATGGCTCGCCAACTATCCATTTCCCTGTGCTCTAACTGAACCCTCGCGGCGACAGGATGTGGTGATCCTCATGAAAACATGGTGGGCTGACGATGCGGTGATGAGCGCTATCTTCGGTACCCTTTCATCCCATCCTGAAGGTGCTAAGCAGCTTCGAAAACACGGCTTGATGGGCAGCATGCTGGAAGAAAACGACCATGATGAACTCAGCGACGACAATGACGACGAAGACGAAGAAAGCGATGTGTGGATGGTAGATGGAGATGATACCGCGGGCTCTAGACGGATCCCTGCACGGCAGAATCGAAACCGCAATATCGAAGAGCAAGCTTTGAGGAGGCGCAGAAGGGAGGCAATGGTGTTGAGTGATGGAAGGCGCCCGATAGGGAATGATGATATCATACAATTCCCGATCGCTAATTGATCGCAGCAGTTTTTAAGATGTGCAGGTATTGGAAGATACTGTTATGGATCTTAGTTTTCGAACATTATGATACCCCTTGGCAATTTATATTAGTCATATTCATATCGACTTATAGTGGTATATGAACGTTTATTACAAGCAACTCAGAGCCCCATCCAAGCTGACTTTGCAACATGATCCATCTTTTTCCGACTATGTTTAAGCATTCCAAGTGCCCTGAGCTCAGATAACGCTCTGTAGAATAATGCCATAGTCATTCTTTCATCGCAGCCATTACCCTGTTCACTTTCAAAGACCGCATAGAATGCTTGCCATAAGTCATGCATATTCACAAGCGCGCCTGACTCGAGGTACAGCTGATAGAGAATTGATGTGGCAGGCTGTTGGGCGGAAATCTTGCGTTCTGTGTCCTGCGACGTAAACATAAGATAGTCGAAGGGGTGCGACAATGCCCGTTCTAGGGCGAATCGGGCACGTGGAGCAAACACTTCTCTTATAGGGCTCCGCATATCAAGCAGGAAAGCCTCATGTAGGGGCAGTTCCTGCGGGCATACCAAGGTGGACTCGAGATATGACCCTAACATGGTATGGAAACGATCTATAATCTCAGTGTATTGGATACACTCATCTGGCAACTTCGTTTTGCCAGTGTTCAATTTAATTCGTTGTTTGGATATTGTTGTTCCGATGACAGAGTTTTGGCTGTCATATTCACTGCGCAACGGCTCCGGGCCATTATGGGCTTCGGAGAGTGATTCGAAGTTCGCATGAATATCTTGAAAGCCGGGTAGTTCCGTTAGAGACTTCGGCAGCAAGGGGAGCAATTGTTCGATTTTCCCGGAGTCTAGTCGTCGGAAAGCGGCCAGAAGGTCTTCGAGTAGGGATGAGCCCCGTAGCTCCCCGGACAGCGCGCGGATAGACAACTCTGATATACTTGGCTTCTTCAGAACATTAAGGTTCTTGAGCAATGCAGAGATAAAATTCACAGCTTGGAAAAGGTCATGCATCGACTGTTGTCCGGATTTGACCAGCTGGATTGCCCGCGGAAAGAAGGACTTATCATCTTCTAATAAATCGCGCACTACCCTCGTATTGCCATCTTTCAAGAGGCTTTCACAGTACCTTGTAAGATGTCAGCGGGGCAGCCAACGGGAAGGGGGCAACGGCTTACTCTCTAAAAGATGGAACATTTCTAAGTGCTTCGCAAAGCTGTTTGCCTTGTAAGTCTTCTGGGATGTCGTCCGCAAGTAGCACCGAGATTGGATTGGCGAAAAAATGAGACATATAGGCGTACTAGCCATGACATTAGCGACAAACAACTCGACCGGAAAGGGGATGCCCGGCTCACCTTTACTGTCCGACAAAACGCTTCCGGTGTCTGGAAATAATCACTTGACTTCTCGAATAACACCCCTGTAATATTTCGCCCGAGCCAGAATTTTCCTCCTTCCGCCTGGATTCGTTCATATATATGGTCAACGCAGTTGCTGGCCCCATGGAGTTCGAAGTATTTCCCCTTTAGTAGGGACACGCTCGACCGCGGTAATCTTCCTTCAAATAATTCGACAGAGGTTGAGATGCCGAACAAGAGGGTCAATGGTATTCGATCAAGCCACGAGCTAGAAGATCAGCTTCAACCAAGCATTAATATCTGGGATTACTGGCTCACCCGAGTAGAGAGAAGAGGTCAGTAAAAATCCCTGGATCAAAGGCTTCACTGTCTCGAAAGGCAAGAACAAGATGTTTAATGTTCCTCCGAGTGACATATTCACCTAAGAGGTCGAGATCGTATCCAAGAAGCCTCGGGCCCTACATGTGTCAATGTCATGCATGACTAGTGATCACAATTTAAACAGTCTTACCTCCCGGTCTGTAAGAAAGTTTTGGTAACCATCGTTGCCTTCCGTATTTGTAATAGCAGCACGTATAATGTTCTTCAAGGTTGTTTTGAGGTTGGGCGCATCGCCAGATTCCAGCACCACTACACCTCCTTCTTTGGCGGAAGTTAATTGATCATTCAGCCGAGAAAGAAGCCTGGCTAGCGAGGACACGTTTGATCCGACAGTAAGGAGCGCCGCGGGCAGGCAGCCATCGTACCTATGCGCTGTTAAATTCCGAACAGAGCTGCCTCACTTTCGGGTTCTCTTACATCTCAGGTGTGGTTGTCCTGACAAATGTTGATACATTTTTGAGCACCTCCGCGTCGACATCATTTAAAATATCCTAGGCCAGAAATTAATATACATCCATGGTAACCAATGGGTATATTCCATTCTCACCTGGGTCTTTGCTTCTTGAACGGACCATAATTGCTCGTATGTTTGATACCTCAATCGGACGGACTTTTCGCTTTCATCCCCATTAAAAAGCGGCACAAATGGACACAAATCTGCTGTTGATGTCGTTTGTTCTCGCGTAACTTTACGCTTTTTCGAAGGGTGGTCGTTTGGGGATTTTCCTGTATCTGCTGGTCTGTAGATATAAACGCCCTTCAGCTTGTTAGTGAAAGCTCAGGATCTTAAATTGAGGGTTTTGCGCCGACCAACCTGAGTATTCAAAGAATCTTCTAGAGCACCAGTTTCTGTCTCCATAAAGTCTGCAACCATCGTCACTCCCTCTGTTGGCGCGCGAATCGAGGGTGAGTTCGCGTCGTCTGGGGGAGATGGAGATTATTGAGTGCCTGAATTCCGCGGCAGATCTCCGACCGAACTAAGCCAGATCGGGATAATTCAAGCTCCGCGGGATTCAAGAACGAATTTCCAACCCGTCGATTACCTTTTGCTGCGCTCACCTCTTTCGCCTAAAGTCACGTTTGTGTTTCCTACTCCCTGCCGATTTCCGATACCAATGATATAACTGCTCTCACTTCATGCTCCGTCCGGTGATTCGAGGGGCTCGGTGGTATCAGCATGTCGCCCGCTCAAGCAGTCCGGCGACATCGCCTCATCCGTTCACTCGAACGTTCACCGCAGTAGCACCACTATCGATCAATTATGGCAGCCCGAATGACAAAATAAATTTCTATGAGCAAGACACACCGCGAAGCAAGAAAAGACGGAGGATAGACCCGGAGGCCGAAGATAACGCGGACAGGGAGGATGTGCAACGCGAGCTCTCGCAGTTAGACCATGAGCTAGAAGCTCTGAAAGAGGGCCCATTCGGCCCCAATAGCGCTTTCATAAAAGGTCTCCCAGAGCATGAAAGAGTAATTGCGTTGGAAGCCCTCCGGAAGCAGGAAGCAGAGAACGGCAAAGATGAGCCTATCAACCTTGACAATATCTACGACGAGGAGTTGGATGAAATGCTTAGAGAGGAGTTTGAGGGAATGGCTTTGGAAGAAGAAAATTGGATGGAAGACAAGAACGACGATTCACAAAGAACAGTCATACACCAACCCTATGAAGTCATACTCGAGGGTCCGGAACATAGCAGCTATGTTGGCAAATTTAATGATGCTTTAAAGCGTTTTGCCGCTGATAACTCTAGCGAAAGAGCGAAACGAGAGCTCTGGAAGTGGTATCGAAGGTGTAAACAGGCTGTACCACAATTTATCGATGCGGTCCCACAGGAGGCTATGACGATGCTATGGTCCTCTCAACAAAACGAGCGCTCAACTGGAACACAGGCGGCTCATGTACAGATCCTGGCTGAGGATGTGTTATCCGCTGGACGAGCTCTTTCAACCACGGATATGCTTTCTTACATAAATTCACTACAACTATCTGGTAAGACCAAAGATGCACTGGACCAGTGGGAGGCGCATCAAACCGGACTCAGTCAGAAAAAAGAAGATTTGGAAGCCTATTGGAAACTGGGAGTACAACTCTTTGCAGCAGAGGGCGACCCGCAGAGAGCTCAGGATATTGCTCTTGCATTTCTGGCAAACGACAATTCTCGACAACCTCGCATCCTCATTCCGGTCATAACTGCCTGGGGTAGACAGGATGGGGAAGAAGCGGATGTCAAAGCATGGGCTCTTTATCTGCAACTGAAAGCACTGCTTCAACATGAGATTGGCATGAGAGACTATGACCAGATCAGCATTGAGTTCCTCAAAGCCGGGAAATTAAGTCTTGCCATTGCTGTGTTCAAAGATATGATGGTGACCGGCCAAGATTCGGCAAGCGACTCAACGGCGCTGTATAAGGCAGCTGTCGGGTTAGTTGGTAACCTACAAGCGTCCGCTGTTTCCGAGCAAGACGTTAACAAAGTCTCTCTCTCAACGTTGACGGTTCTACCCCGTCGGTTTCAGAATCGATTCTTCTACGCTAGCTGGATGAAAAAATTGATTGGAATGGGCGAAGTTGATTCCGCTGCCCTAGTGATTGAGTTAATGTATGAGCGAGGCGTAAGGCCAGATCCGAAGCATCTCAACGGCATCATCGCTGGCTGGCTTCGCCTGGGGACTGCACCCGCGCGGGAAAAGGCTGAACAGCTAGGGTGGGCTATGATCCAACAGCGGATTGATCGGGTCTTACAAGATGAGGCAAAGGGAACTACTCCATCTCTATCCCCGGAAATGCAGCACGTAAATGCACGGATTCCGAAATTCATGAAACGCCCAATGCCTCCAGCCAGTATTGAAACCTTTTCGATTCTACTCCTCCATTACAGCCGACGGGGCGACGAAGAAGCAACTGGACAACTTGTCAACAGCCTCACACATGCCCGAATCCAACCTAACTCGTACTTTATGAACCATCTCCTCTACGCCGAACTCCGAAAACAAGACATTGGTTCTCTATGGAACAGGTTCAAGACCATGTCCTCTTCCGTGCAGCCAGACCTTGAAACATTCGCCTGTCTCTGGGACTGCGGGAAGGTGCAATACGATCGCAGCCGCAAAGCTTTCCTCTCCGATTTCCCAAACCCTCGCACTCTGTACGCAGAAATGCTGAAGTGGTTCTCCAATCTCTCCAGCCGAGGAAAGGCCACCATCCAAGAAGATTTCTCTAAGGACCTCTATGACCAAATAATCCGGTGTTTCTGTCTTTCCCGCGACCTTCCAGGCACTCTGGTTGCACTCTCCTCCCTCCGCTCAACCTTCGGCTTCTCTCCAGATGATGCAACAGCCCGCCTGATCATCTTACAAGTTGCGCGGCTCGCCGCCGCTCCCTCAGATACCCCCAAACGTCGCCTTCGTCGCGTCTCCTCGACTCCAAAAAGCAAAGAAAACATCATCAACGTCCAACGCCTTGTCGAGCTTCTCAGTGATCGCAAGTCCTCAACTCTCGAGTCCAGAGGCCTCAGCATATCCTCGCTAGATCCGTACGAGAGAGAGACACATCAACTAGACATTATGACTGACTTGCTGCGCATCGTCATGGTTCGGGCTGCTGACAATCAAAATCCTGACCCCGACCGTATGGAGGCACAGGTCCGGTCTGTCGCAGAGGAAATGGGCGTTTCTGATGTAGATCTTGGTCCAAGGTTGGATGACACGGATGCTCGTCTGATCTCAATGAGGTAGAAGCTGTTTAAGCCTCAGCCATTCATTTCCAAGAATCCCAGCATTCGGCATTCGGCATTTGTATATATATGTATGTATATGGAGTTTTGGTTTGCACTTTGGCGTTCGCGTTGTATTATAGCACTACCCCATACCTATGTACACTCCTAACACCGATCCTCTCTGGAGCAGATTTAGCGCAATCCCAATATTTTACGTGGGTTCTTTTCACAGCAGAGCAACAAAATATGAGTGAACCGGAGTAGTAACCTTGGATTATGTATAAACCCCCTTCGTAAAACATGAGACGAAAATGTAAATTTTAAATAGAAAGGAAGATAAGGGAATGCAACCATCTAGAAAATTGAATAAAGCTCATTTCTTGCCCTTCTTCTTCTTCTTCCCCCCACCGGAACCTCCACCCCCAGGACTCCTCTGCGCTGTCGCTCCTGCCTGGTCATCAGCTTCCACGAGAACCGCATCTTCATCACTCTCAGTAGCAGTTGGCGCTGGCGGTGCCGCAGCAGATGCAGCGATCTTTTTCTCCTCCGCAACATCCGTAACCGCAGGTGTAGTAGTGGTAGTAGAAGAGGCAATAGCAGGCTTTTCGGCATCCAACTCCTTCATGAATCCCTCTTGGATAGTAGCTTTTCTCTTCCCCCACCAAGCCTTCTCCTCAGCCAGCTTATTTTGGTGCTTCTCTAAACGTTCCCGCACAATCGCGTTATTGACCATCTCATTTGCGGACTGGAAGATTGTTTGACCCCAGTTGGGGGCGTATGCATTTGCCTGTACACACCCACATTAGCATTTCTCAAAATCAATTGAACTAGTAATAAAGGAATTGTCCTATATGACAGATTCGCACCTCATTAACAACATCCCTAACTTCATCCTCCATTTCCTTCTCCGCGCGCAAAAACCTTTGCCACAGATCATCGCCCACGCTTCCGCGCTGGAGCAACATAGAAAGAGCCTGCTTCTGGCTACGGAGAGCCATGACGCGCCTAATGTCTTCGCAGGCACGGCGGAGGAGCGCCGCTTTGAGTACTGATTCAGGAATCTTCTTTTCCTTCTCTTTCTCTTTTGACGTGGAGGCGGAGGGTTCAAGGTGTAGGAGGGAGAAGTATATGTCTCGCTGGAGATGTGGCGGGAACCATGGTTCTAAGGATGTGGCCTTTCCTGAGCAGAGACAAGGACAGTTAGCTAATGTGTTGACCTGGGACTAAAGTTGTAATCGCATATGCATGTAGGTGTCCATATAGGGTGCGTATATTGGAGGTTTGGGCGGACATACTGGCTTTGCGTTTGCGGTATAAAGAGGAGAAGGTTGCAAGGGATCCGATTAGAACGCTTAGATACGCGAACGGTACGACGAGGGTAACCCAGTCGACCATGGTGTGTATGATTATGGGTAAGTAGACAGGTATCGAGAATGTCGAGTTCGGGGATGGAAAGAAATGCGGGTATTGTTCGTTCGTTTTCAGCTGGTCATAATAGTACGCCCGTTCGTGGATGAGTAGAGGAAAGACCGAAATTTAAACGGCTAACCACGTTGTTCAAAAACGAGTGAATGAGCCAAAATCTCGAGAGTGTTGGCAATTCGAGACCATGAATGTCGGGGAGTCAGATGGCGGAACACAAGGACGATCCAAAGGCCAGGCTGGTGTCTTGGCCTCGTCACATGTTCAGACCCTGCGCTCTCAACTATAAGATCAACCACCAACACATAGACGCGCATTCACAGCTACGGCTACTTTTACATTCCAAAAATTGGGGCCAGACATGTCAGACCTACACATTGAGATTCGATTCTTAAATAATACAGGTAGATTCCGCCAAATATCTAACGGCAAAAAACACAAAAGCTCACGCCTCCCGAAGGGCTAACCCAGCACCAAAGGCAACCCTTGATCAGTGAAGTAGCGTAAAGCGAAAGAGGTATAGGAAGGAAAATAAACGATGGGAATAATAATGAGCTGAGCTAGAAAAGAGAATTCGAATATCCGCCATTGATCTCATTACACAAATCCATGCTTGCTGCTGCCAAATTCAAGAACCAAACGTGTGCAAAAAGGTTTAAGGGGTAGGAGAGCGAGGGGTGGTTAAAGAGGTAGGAGGTAAAGTGGGTGAAGAAAAGGCATCTAATAAAGCGATCCAAGCTGCTCTTTCGTCTTTTGACTAATCGGTCCAATCTCCTGTACAGCTTGCATGTCTTCGAGGACGTCGTTGAACGTGTTTTGAATCCCAGCAGCCACCTTGCTGCGGTTCCAATCACTGCGCGTGTGCCAGAGGAAATCCATCAGCGCAGTGTTAATCTGCTCTAGCTGTTCGACGGAGCAACCGCTCGTGCGCTGGGCCATCTCTTTATGTAGATTTCGGACGTAATCGTGGTCGATGATTACTTTCGGCGATTCATCATGGTCATTGAGCAGGGATTGCAGGGCGGTCGGCTGTCTAGAAGTACCGTCGAAGAGAGGTACAGGGGGTTGTAACTTTGGTTGCGACTGACTAACACCCGGCCCATCCACCTGCACAAGTTGGGATTCGCGAGATTGAGGGGATGGTTGGCTACTATCCCCTTGTTGGGTATCCGGGAGCTCCTCTTGCGGCACACGATCGGGATACTGGGTGAGATCAGGGTAGTCGTGCCGTCCTCCGTGAGCGACGATAGGGCTCTGAGTGTAAGGCTGTGGATGCGAAGACTGATCGGACGACTTCTTATCTGACGTCGTTTGTGTGGTGGAGGCTTCATTGGTATAGTCTCCCGGTTGGGATCCCGGAGCCATGGGGGTCATGGGCCCCTTCTGTGAGAAGCTTGAAAGGCCGGACTCTCGCCGCACCTGTTGAGAGGGAGCAGTCATGGAATAGGCCGGTTTAGGTTGCGCAGAAGGCCCAAACGAGCTTACCTGCGTATCCTGTCCTGCAGATTGATCAGAGTTGGTCATGTAAACGTCCCCATCTCCATCAGGGTGAGATTCACGTGAGCCGTTATTCGGGTGCGAATCGTTCAAATCCGACCCATCGCCCCGGTGATATCCATTAGTCATGAAGCTGACATTCGACTGTCGTGTAGGCGTGACCGGCCGATTAGGAGGGATTTGAGGAGCAAGATCAGGGAAAGAAGCACCGAGTACCACGGGGCCGCTCGACGGGTCTGAGTCTGTATTGCCATGAGGGACCCTGTTTCCTGCACGAGCCGCAATGCCTTCCTCCTCTTGAGATTTTCTCGCCTTCTCTAGCGCAGCCTTCTCTCGCTCCAGCTCTCGAAGATAAACATTTTCGCACTCAGCCACTAACGCTGGCTCGGCCTGCTCGATAGTAGAGATATCCACTTCAACATTGGACAGAAGTTCATTCGCCCTGAGCAAACGCTCCTGATCATTACCAAGCTGCCGAGCATCCTTCGCTAATCGCTTAATGTCCGCTAAAAAGTCCTTGGGACGCTTGTAATATCCGTTAGAAAGGCGCTTCTCGATGGTTACAATCTCCATATTGTAGAAAAATTTGCCAGATACCGCCTCCCGGAGGCCCAGGACGCCGTGTTTATCGTGCGCCTTCTCAAATGGCCGGAATGTCGTCCGCTGTTCGATCGGCAGATCACTCGTCACAACATTCGGGTCATCCTCTTCCCATAAATAGCGAATCTGAGACTCATCGATGACTCCGCTCCTAAAGCGCTTGTATTTCTTGATCTGGTCCATGATGGGCTGGATACGAATCTTCAACAGATTCAAAGTCTGATAGTCCTTCTTCTTCTGAGCTTTGAGCTGTTCTTTCGAAAGAGTCTGCTCTTTCGGCGGCGGCGGCGGCGCCACCTCTAACTCTTCAAGTTGTCTCTTCTTCCGATTATCAGGGTCAGGCAGCTGGGAAGGCGAGGCCTTGATAAGATCAATGAGCTTGGAAAAATATTCATAACGCGCGTCATTGTCTGGTGCGGCGAGCTCAAAGATGTTTCGCTTCGAGTAGCCAAAGAGACTCCTCACAAACCTAGGGTCTACTTCTTCCATGCCAGCCTCCATAACCCCAAGTAGTAGGACAGGGTCAGTGGAAGGCACAGACCGTAGAAGACCTAGGAACGTAGATATCACTGCTTGGCCAACTGTCTCGGTCCAATTTTGAAGGCCAGGGATATAGATCACACTCGGCTTATGTCGTTTGACTTCGGCGAAAAGCTGGATAATTGCCGCTTCGGGTGACCGTGTTGAGTCGCTAAGTAACGTCGGAAGATCAAATGACTGAACGTGCAGACCTTCAAAGTGGTGCAACAGGGCGCTTGCCAAGTATTGTTGACCCATTCCAGGAGAACCGCGTAGCAATAGCCTAGGTCTAAAGACCCGCGACCTTTCGAATTCCTGTTGCATTTGCTCGCGCTGGAAGCCATTTGAGGGGTCTCCTGATTCTTCAAACAGGGCTTCTTCCAAGGCTGTAAGCCTCTTGCGTTGGGGAAGAATCTCGGAGAGGATACTCTTAAGCTCAACCAGAGGGTGTCGTAATAACGGTTCGATGGGTTTAGGTAATTGTGAGGCACCAGACGACGTAGATCTCTCTGACGAAGGGACCATTTTCTTGATTGCCAACATGAAGTCTTTGGGGGCGACTTCAATTGTTTTCGGATCAATCAAAAGTTTTTTGTCAGACTTGTAGATTTGGGGGTACCTTCTCTGCACCGCGTTCAACGCGGCCTCAGTGCAAAGAGCACGCAAATCTGCACCACCATACCCCTTCGTGATCTCTGCAAGTTCATCCTTGATGACGTTTTCTAACGGCGGATCCCAGCCCTTCGTGTGGATATCCAAAATAGAACGGCGTCCTTCGCTGTTGGGCAGTGGGAAGTAAAACTCCCTATCGAACCGACCAGGGCGACGAAGAGCAGGGTCAATAGAGTCTGGGCGATTCGTAGCACCAATAACAATGACTTGGCCACGACCATCCATGCCATCCATCAACGCCAGGAGAGTGGAAACGATGGACGCATGGATTTGTTCCTGCTTGCTTGACCGGACAGGGGCCAATCCTGGAAAAGAATATCAGCGATCATGTACTTATTATCCTTAGGGCGATACAGGGTGCCTACCATCGATCTCATCGAAGAAGATAATACTTGGCTGGGTTTTACGAGCCTCTTCGAACAGAAGGCGAAGTTGCCTTTCGGCCTCCCCAACCCATTTACTGAGTGCGTCGGCTCCCTTCCTCATGTAAAATGTGACCTTGCGACCCTCGGAGCTAACACTGTTTGCCAGAGCCCTAGCTAGGAGGGTCTTACCTGTACCCGGAGGTCCATGGAAGAGAACACCACGTGGTGGCACGATGTGGAAGCGTTGGAAGATCTCTGGATACAGGAGCGGAAGAGATACCATCTCCTTCAGTTGATCGATGTGGCCCTGTAAACCGCCTACACTATCGAAGTTGACTGTCACGTCAACACCAAGGGGATCTGCATCCGCTAGGGCCTGCTTGTCTTTAACGCGGCCAAGGTTCGCTGGGGTTCCAGAATGGCCTTGAGCTGCGTCGGTACCATGCGCCTGGGTCGCAAAAGGGAGGGGTAAGGGGCCACCAGCTGGTCCTGATATTGAGCCTTTGGGATGTTGCATTCCTTCGTCATCACTGCTATCGCTATCAACTCCGCCGGTGGCAGCATGTGCTCCGGGTGGCCCCAGAATTGCAGACGGCCCGCCGCCTCCAAAGGGCCCATAGGTTGGGAACAGTGTACGCTGCCAGGTGCTTCCGCCCCCGCCACGGCCCCTACGCGACGGAGACTCGTTGACTTCATTCTCCGCCTCCTCTATTGGCAGGACCAGGTCGGGGCGGATAATGCGGTAATCAACGTCCTTTCGGCTGCGTCGGGGCTTCTCATAAACAATTTCTTGGTGTACGCGGCGGCGCGGGCGGTTTCCTCGAAGATCATGAAGCTCCTCCGCCAATTCTTCTGCGATATCAGCAGCCTCGGATTCCCCACGTGATCGAGAGGCTCTTTTACGGAGGCCTGGGCGTCGGCCGGTTGAGCTCTCATAGTCGTCGTCTTGGGCTTGGCTGGCTTTGCGCGGGGAACCTTGAGATTTGCCGGACTGCGACAGCTCATCCTCATCGGCAGATTCCTCTTCCTCTGGCTCGAAATCACTTTCTTCGTCGTTTTTCCGTTGCGAAGACTTGGGCTTCTTACGACTTGAGCGGCGTGGTCCCGTATCCTCTTCATCGAAAGGCTGTGTCGTGTCTTCTTCGGTAATCTGGCTGCGGTTCGGCCGAGCTCTTCGCCTTGTAGTCGGGCCCTCATCGTCGTCGTCATCGTCATCTTCTTCCTTCGCATCACCATTCTCGGACTCCGGAACGAAGCCTGAATCCTCGGCAGCTGCGCCTTGTCCACCATCGTCTTGGAAGGAGGTTGGGGCGCTTTCCGATATCTCCACTTGCGAAGCCTTGATCTCGGTTAAAGTTTCTTCGATGACATCCGGGTCTTCCATTTTGGCGTCAACCTCATCGATATCGTCAACATCGGGAGCCCGCTTCGAGCCACGGGATGAGCGGCGACCCCGGTCTGCTTCTGGGCTATGGGTACCTCTTTGAATTGTTTGGGCATGGCGTCCGGAGTTAGTCAAAGCGTAGATATCTTCGGATGGGTCACGGGTACGTCGCGTCGTCCGCCGAGCGCCAGAGTAAATTTCCTGCATCGCCTGCCGCTTCAGGCCGTCGCCCACTTTCAATTTCACCACCTTCTTCGGGGATGGAGCCACAACTTCTTCTTCCTCGTCGTCGTTTTCATCGTCCTCGATACTCTCTGAATCGCCCTCGTCGTATATAGGTCTCTTCGTGGCGGCTCTTCGTGCAACCGTACCCCGCGCATTTCTTGGTGCGTTCACATCCTCTTCCTCATCAGACTCTCCGAACGAAACCGAGTCAAGCTCACTAATCTCGTCGTCTTCTAAAATATCGTCGTCGGAATCGCGACGCGCCCTTTTCTTTGTAGGCCGAGCCTTTTTCTTCGACTTCGATTTGGAGGCTGAACGTCGGCTATCACGGATCGGGTGATCGCTGTAGTCGTCATCATCTGAATCGGATTTATTGGCGATTTCTTCGAGTGAGCGTTTCGCACGTGCCATGTTTACTGCTCGAACTCTGTGGTGAATAGGATTGATAAGCAAGTGCCATGAAGCAGGTATATGAAAAGTCAAAGTAGGACTGGGAAAGGCAGGCGGGTGAGTAGATTATAGGACGGATGGTAGCCAGAGGCCATTCGTTAAGCGCAGAGTGCAGGCTCAATCCATTGAACTCACCAAGTAAGGACGAGATCGAGGTTGAGGTCTCGATTATGCCTCACGCACAATGTTCTAGCAATGGCGTGATATCATGAAGATATGCCAACAAAAAATCGAGAGCGTCAAGTATCACAGCTGGTAGTGTGAAGGCCAATCGGAGGTACCTGAAGCACTGTCGTCGGTTGCATACAATGCGCAGGGGCAGCGGTCGGAGGCAAACGAGCGATGTTGAACAAGTGGAAACAATTTATCACGCCAATAATTCCAAATCAACTAGCAATCAAAATCCACGAGAGGGAGAGTACGTAAGAAGGTAAAACGCGTCGCAGGTGGCACTTTGGTCATGGGTAGCCTAGCAAGCAACAGAGAGAATCACTTGATGGGGGTCAGCGCAACGAAAATCAAAACTCAGCGAGACCCAAAACAAAAACATACCTATTCAACAAAAGCCACAGCGACAACAGCAACTCACAAGCATGTCCGCAGGAATCAACCAAAGAGGATTGATCGAGGGGATGGCAAGTGATGCAACTTTTTCCCTCACTCTTTGACACGATCTCTCTCAGCAAGTTGATGAGTCCTGAGGCTTCGGCGATGGTCTCCTTCGGGCGCTTGCTGCGCCACACATTAGCCACAGTTAGCCCCTCATCAGGACTAGCGCAGGCGGCAAATGCGCAATTGCTGCCTGAGCGCTGAGGCTGAGAGGAGGCGTCTCCACCTCATCGCCCGCTCACCTCCTGTGAAAACAATTCAAAGCTGGAGATCACCGCGAAACCACCACATCAGAACCCCACGTAAACATCGTAACTCCATCGCTTCCAACCTCATAAAATGTCAAAATAAGCTTCGAACGCATTCTCAAGTAATATCCTGCAGTTAAAGTGCGCCTTTCCGTGCCTGTTCAGCGACTCCCAGGTCGGCAAAAAGATGAGTAAAGAGTGAGAAAAAAGGACAACAATCGCCGTCAGTTTTTTGTCCCTACATCGAAGCTTATCGCCCTTTGACTTCCTCCCCGCTTGTTCGCCCTTCGCCTAATCCCCGTCTTGATTTGGCCCTGAGCCGCCGCTGCTTGATATCATGTGATTGATGACTCATCGCCGCCTGGCCGGAACATCGCCATCTTTAAACCGTATAAATAGAAAACCAGCTATACAAAAACAGAGTCGGCTCAGTTAAATATTATCCCTAATAAAATCACTCAGCATGCCTCTCCGTATCAATCCCTCGTTTTCTCAGGCGCTTTTTCGCAGAAATATAACTACAACCGACGCGCGCTTGAATACTGGCATGCCGCCGCACCCACCACCCCAACAACCACCGAGCGCTTACAAGGAAGGGGTAAGTTAATGAGCCCATGTACCGTCCTCTCTTGTTTAAATGGAATGGTCGACCTAATTATGTTAGATGTCGCGGTACAAACACTTCTTCAGCCCCTTCGCAAAGGTCTTCCTGGGCGCTGTGTTCACCTACCAGGTTCTCTATTGGACCTGGGTGAAGCTGGAGATGGAAGAGGTAAAGGCTGATAAAAACAGTATGTCTTGTCTTTTTGCTTTTGCTTTTTGCCCGTGTTTTGTTTGATGATGCTTTGACTAACAGTACTTGCTAGAACAACTCGCGGCCTTGGAGAAGGAGGCAAGGGAGTTAACAGGAGTAAAGAAATAGAACCCAAAGTTTTTTGGGAACTTGTAATATATTCTGTTTTTGTTTTTGTTTCTCTGTATGTATAAAACTAGTATTAGCAAATTATACCCCGTCAACCTTCGGTTTTGTACTTGTGTATTTGTTATGTGGTTCATTGTTTGTAATTGTGTGTGCTCTATATATATAGTGTGGATGCACCACGGTGACTATGCACACTTTGGTAATGCAAATAGCAAGCTTTTATAAGTTGCCTTTATCCGCCTTGTATGTTTTCCAATGATGCTGTAAAGGGTATTCTGAAGTCAGAAACTGTGTTCGCTTCTCTACCTATATACGGTGGCAGGCTCAACGCCAAAACAGCGTTATGGGTTTCCGCTTTCGATGATTCGCCAAATAAGACCGGAAAGGCGTATACCCTGTAGGCCATTTCACGAATTGCAGCGGTTAATAGTGGCAGCTCCTGGTCTACACTATTGGCACCACCATGAGGGTTTCCGTGCTCCGAATAGCCGCTACAGGCGGAGTCGGCATCACAGTGACCACTCCCAACAGACTCGTCGTCACCACCAAACCTCCCTTTTGTGACATGCGCATCATCATCCACCAGGACTTTGGCCCTATGGGCTGGGGGAAGGGACCAATCGTCAACGCGTTTGCCCACGCTGCAGGGCGCCACCTTGGAAAACAGATGACCCTTCAGCGGAAACCGCGCCAGAATTGAGGCACTTCCTCCCAATCGATTCTTGCATACTAGGGTTTGCACTTCCTCACTGTCGGCCTGATGCTGTTGACTCAGATATTTGGCGTTGGCGTCCTCCTGGTTGTATATGAGCGCACACAAGTGATGCCCCTGCGCAGGTGCTGGTAGCGTACATTGGCAGCTTTAAAAATATTGTGATTGTTCGTGTCGTTTCCAGTTCACCTTGCTACTGAATGACTTGTCACACTTGAGGAATGTGCAGCCATACGGTCGTTCGTGCCGTTCCAAATGCTTCCTATGGAATGTGTTAGAAAGAAACCATGAAGTCATACTTCATTTCACAGCGCAAGCGCGTTTCTTGCGGGAAACACTCACATTGAATCCAACCCTCCTTGTTTGAGGCAGTGCTGGTACTCTTCTGGAGTGCACTGCTGTCAGGTCCCGAACCCCCCGAATCCTCTGAGAGGAGCACCGATGCAGTGACCAGGATTTTCTGCAAAATTTCCCGGTTGCGATCTGATAACTCGTCCTCTTGCTCACCGATGTCCTCCTCGCCTACATGGCCTCGCCTTCGCTGATGATTATTGATCATTTTTGTCATGGCGTTGATCACGCTCACCGCAGCTTCAGATATCATATCGTCCATTTTATCGTGCCGTTGTTTGATCGTCTGCGAGGGGTCGCCCTCCCCTTGTACATCTCGCATCTCTTCATCAAATCTCTTGATCGAATCTAGCGTTAGCATGTTGGAGGGCTGGAAAGCGGTTTGTGCCGGGGCAATTGGGTTTTGAAACTCGAGGTCAGCGTCCTGCGTTATTATTTCCGGCTCGTTTGTCTGCTGGGAGTGCGTTGGTGTTGCATCCTCTGACAGGTTGTCGGCAAAAACGGATACCATATCTTGTGGCTTTACACAGTTCTCATACCATTCGTGCGACCTGAAGAAGCGTATCAGATTTCAGTTCTTCCATCTCGAGTTGCGAACCAACATACCTTCTCAGCAACTCATTGATATCCTCGTTATTGTGCATTCGTGCGAGGTGTTGACGGAAATTATCGAGGCGAGGCCATTTCTTATTGCTTCGTGGACAATTTTGCCCAAAGCACATGTATAGTACTTTCGGTCCGCGCTCCGGGTCCTTCTTATGTACGCATTTCTTATGCCGAGCAAGGTCATTGATGGTACCAAACCCTTCTTTCCGCGTACACTTTGGTTCGTCGCACTTGAACAGCTTCTTATGTCGAGCTTCATGCTTTCTATTCAGATTAATATGCGCGCCTCTTGCGAGCATCAATGATAGCATACCTTTTATCGGATGGGCACTTGCCAGTCCACGGGCAGCCCGGATAATCGCATTTGATCGTCTCGTGGCAAAGTATGGACGGTGTCTCGGGCCGTTCCGTAAGATCCATAGCCTCGCCATGGCCCGTTGAACCAACGTCCAACGGCACCATATTCTCATCTTGTTGGTATTTCTGTGTTTCGAGATGAGGACTGCAAGTGGCGTCTACGGTATACGAGGCAGTGATTGACCGCTGCGTACTATATCCAGAGTCTGAGGAATGTACTCCGTGGCTTTCAGATTCAGAGGGTGCGCTATAATGTCCAGTGGAACTCTTAGTCGGAAAGCCGCCCATTCGTTGAACTGGGCCTGCGCGGGTGGAGAAAGTGACATTGACAGGTGTACCACTTGCTCTGAGCATACTCCAAGGGTCCTGCTCGCGCAAGTATCGGGCGTTGAAGTAGTTAGAGTAGTCGAGAGATTGGGGCCCCGGCGACGTTGATTGGTCAGGTAGCCACTGGTTGGGAAACGAGGCATGTCTGGGAGAATGGTGAGGGAGAGTTCTAGCATCGGGACCGGAATGAAGCGCCATCAATGAAGCTGGATCGTATTCGACGGACGTTGGTTCAGTGGAGGGGCCGTTGGGGAACTCGAACTCGGGCTCCGAATGCATTGAACCAACGCCTTGAAGGACATCGTTGGGGTGACTCCAAGAAAAACCGTGCTCCTGAAAATATTCAGTATATTTGGCTTTTAATTATTTGTATTTTCTTTATTCTTTTATTTTTTTGGGGGAGTTGAATTATTTTGGTTGGTATCATGTGCGGAAGACTGGGCTGGGTGGCTACCTCATTCATGGTGGCAGTTGGTGTGCCCTGCGGAGCAAACAAAGCTTGTCTCGAGCAGAGAGTCTATGACTGTAGACCCGCCCGTGTTATCGACAGGAATGCGACCAGATGGAGGGTGCAGGTAGAGAACCGGTTTGAGTCGGGCAGAGGGGACTCATATAGGCTGGGTCAAAAGTCGAAACTGAGCAGTCAAGTCTTAGAGCGGCAGAGAGTGAAATGAAATGCGGCGGTGACAAAGTGATCGGCCTCAAAAAGTTTTCCTCAGTTATCCGTATCATCTGTTGGGTTAAGCCTGAACAATAGTCGTGGGAAACGAAGGGCTGAAGACCGAGGAGAGAAAAAGCAAAGAGAAGAAGAAGATGATGGAGGGCGAGGAAAAAGCATTGCAGGGACAGCTCTGGAGTCACTGGCAGCTGGAGGAAGAGGCCTCGCAATTCACATTCTCATTTCCCAGGACCCCACGCGAGAGTAAATAGCAATTAACATGTCGATGACAGGGCGAGTGCATTAGTATACATTACTAGCATACCTCCTGCGCTGACAGGAGAGTTGTCCGCACCAGGAATCGGACGAGATCAGGCCGGCCCAGTGTGCGCTCGACTGCACGACTGGACGCAGGGCCAGCTGGAGGTATCCGCGGATGCGAAAAATTCTCATTCGCTCATCCTGGACGAGTCCGAAGGCATTCATGATTTCTCCCCGGATGTCCTGAGCCTGTGTGCGTAAGTGTGCATGCGTGGCTGTGCCTGTAAGGAGTGCCTCAGTTTACTTGCCCGCTCAGTCGAGAGTTCGAGACCCCCCAGAGTCAGTCCGTGACAGGAGACCCAACTTTTATTTTAGACGTCGATCGCCCAGCTGAGTCGACGCCATCTTGCTTTAACGGGTTTCGTTCCGTGGGACGCAGAAGGGGAAAACAGCCATTCTCGATCAGGCCCAGCCCGCTTACTGGTAGTATAATTAGTATTAGTAACGGATATGCGCAGCTGTCAACAAATTCACTGGCCATGTACGGTCTCCAAGTGGTCATTCATTCGTAAAAGCCAAAGCTGCCTAATTCTAATCTCTCAATATTCTCAAGACCCCAAATGTCATCCAAAAAAAAAAAAAGAAAAACAACCGAGAACAGCAACCAAAATGTCGTGCCTGTCAAATCGGCCCAAGAATGTGGTTCCCAAGGGGTATCGAGACGCCGATCATGTCGCACAACAATGGCTGAAGAAATAAGGATAATAATAATAATAAGAAAGCCATGGATCGTGTGGATCACAAACAAGACAATTAACGGGGCGCCGAATACTCCCATTTCCACAAAACAAATCCATTCCGAAGCTAATGCCACCCTCACGATCTGTCAAATCTGTCGCTCGGATATCACAAAAACAAAACGTCGCTAGCGAATCTAAGTTGGTTGAGAGTTGAGACCTCGACTCACTGGACTTGGCCTTGGTACCCCCCAGTATTATACTGCATGTCTGCCGCCATTGGTCCGTGATAGGTAGTGTAGTGGTTTGTCGCCCCGTTGGACACGTACATTGCGCTATGTGGATCGTGCTGCATCTCCGTGGGGGACATGGAGAAATCGTTAAATCCCGTCATCACCCCTAGGTTTTCACTTGAGACCCCTAGTCGCGGCACGCCGTTGAATGGCGGCGGGTAGGAGGCCGGAATTTGATGCTGCGGCATCGTCATTACCTGCCCCTGCTCCCCAGCCGAGTCAGCTGGTCCAGGAATTCCTGTATTATGTGTCGTATACGGTGAGGCAGTATCGAAATTATTCAACTGGCTGGGCACCACACCGCCCACGGGTAGAGGATCGGTAGTGAAATACGGCGGCGGATACTGTGATGGTGCAAAATCGATGTGTGGGCTGACTTCATTCATATCAAACGGGCTGGCTTTAGGGGGGACTGGAGTACTCGCGTTGCCAGTCGAAGCGGCACCGTTGTTATACGGAAAATCTCGTTCGTCAACAAGGCTCAAAATTGGTATCGCCATTTGCTCCATATGTTTGGCCAGATGTACGGTGAGCTTCTTCCAATTTGTACAGACATTGCCACAGAACCGACAGGGCTCTGATTTGGGGCTTTTTGTCGTGTCGTGCCGGCAGCTCTCCACAAGGTCCCAAAGTTTGCGGATCTCTCGTTCGCGATCGATCTCTTCCTGCATCTCAGGCGTGATCGGATCGTTCGGGCCCCTTTTTGACGATCTCTTATTCTTGGGCCTTTTAACCTTTGGTTCCGGCAACTTGTGCTCACGGACAAGATGCTGCACGAAGTTGTCTTTCCGGTAGCACTTGTGGCGACAATCGGCGAAAGAGCATTCCCACCATTCCAGATGCCGGTGCCGTTCGTTCTCATGACGCACCCAGTCAGCTTTTCTTTTGAAGGACTTAGGATCAGGGCAGTCCGGGAATGTGCAAGTAAATGGTTGCACGTCTTCGTAGATATGCTTGGTCCAATCCGACGGTTTCTGAAACTTTTTCACATGGAAGCAAACCATACATTCAAACTCGGCTGGCAATAATTTGACCTGTTGCGGTGGGTACGGTACGCCAGGCGGGAATTGGGCTGTGGCAATGGTGGTTTCCCCCAGAGTTCCAGAGCTTCCTTCCGCCTCACCGCGGTTGGGGATCACGAATTGAGTGTGTGAATCTGCATCTTGAGCGGATGCACGGGGTGGTAAGAGTACCGCCCTGCCACCCATGCCTAAGCAGTATTCACCTGACTTGCATTTGTAGTTGGTGACATTTTGGGAGTGTGTTTGCTTGACCTCTATCAGCCTCTTGTACCGCCGAACCTGCTCATGCGCGAAACGATCAATTAACCCAAACTCGAGGCGTGGGTTGAGCTCGCGGATCTGCGTTCTAAATCCTTCTAAAGTCGGAACTGGCAGATGTGGTGGTATCGGAAAGTCCATGACTAGCCCCTTTTCGTCGTTTTCGTCATCATCTTCTTCCTCAGCAGTATCATGATCCAGTTCTGCTTGCTTGACGGGTTCGTCGTCCGCGGGCTGGCCTGGTGATTTGATATTGGGAACAGGTGGACCACCGTGGTTTGTAAAGAGCTCAAATAGACCTGGTGCTCTAGGTATCTCACTTATGCTTCTAAATCGTGGCTTGCGATGGTTCCAAAAATTTGCGGGCCCGCTTGGACTTACAGCACTGAGAGTGTCCTGGCCACCGATGGCTGCCATCGGCGTCGTAGCTCTAACAACTGCTCCGATGCTGTAACCTGGAGACCTTGGGGAAAGGCCGAGGCTCAGTTTCCTACCCGAGCTGTCTTTCCTTTGGGGGTTTGGCCTACTTTCCACGACCTGGTCTTCGCCTTCGGGAACAGTTTGGATGGTGGAGAGTTCGGACTTGGTGCGCTTTAGAATATTGGACTTCCCATGCGGCCAATACTTGTTGATGCTGAGAAGACTAGGTTTCTTCTCATGCTTCTTTTCTCTCCCATCGCGATTCATCCACTGGAGGGATCGGACGCTCTGGTCATCACGGTGACGGGTGCCCCAAGTGGCGACGCGGGATATAGTGTCATTCTCTCTAGTGCGTTTCTCGTATTCAATTATCGCTTGGGTAGAGCTGACCGGCTGCACATGGGTCTCATGCGGAGTCGAATCTCGTTCAACGTCACACCATGGAGGGGACTCAAGATACTGGTAAGAATCTGGCTCATCCGTTTCTGGGTTGCGCGGCTCAGCGGGGGTAACCTCTGATGCATCGTGTGTCCACCTTTCTTCATTCACACTGACAGGAGCTGACGACTCCGTTGCATCGTCGGTATAATCACTTGGCTCACGGAGCACAAGGCCTGGTCCTGGGACATCGAGTCGGTTAGGTTGGAAATTCAAACTGAAATAATCCTTTTGGAGGGATGGGTCCCCGGTGCTTTTTGCTCTTCGCCTAGGGAAACTATGGCTGGTACGACCCCTCTTGGACTGCAGACAATCATCACCAGTCTCACTATGAGCATCCGATACGGCCTCGGACCAATGATAGATATCGGCGTTTCTCTCCGCCAACTTTCGCCGTGAGTCCATCTCATTTGGGCTGAGGATATATCCATCTTTTCGAGCATCTGGCGCGAGACCAGAATGGCCAGTACGCATATTCGGAACCCAAGACCCGTCGGATGACCTTGGTACTGAAGGGCGCTCTGTCTCCATGGTAACATCTTCTTCCGATGCATTAGAGATACCCCCTGGGGAAAGATGTACGGAGGACTGGCTCGGGCGGCGGTTGGTTGAGAAACTATCTCTGACAGGTGAATCGCCCCGTGAATAACTTTCGACCTTAACAATTGGGCTTCTTGCTGTGGCCGATTCAGGAGCCTGGTGGGGGCCAAGAGTATCGCTCAGCGGCGATGTAATCAGGCGAGGCATCGGAGGAGGATGAGGTCGAGAAAGTCGGTGGCACCCACCGCTTGTCGTGTCTGAGGATGGGCTTGGATTGTTGGTCAGATTCGGTGTGAGGAGTTGGGAGGGGTTCATAGTCGCTTGAGGAGATGATGGGCCGTCATTAAACTGATTTGGCGCGGGTGTCTCTGTATCCTGCGCGAGGGCAACGTTGGGCGGTGACCAGGCGTTCACGAAATCGACTGGAGATGTATGGTCACTCATCCAATCGCCTGACGGACTTAGGAAATCAGAGTAGGAGGTGCCATAGCCCTCATTATTGCCTGGTGTCGACACGTTGTTGATGGAGTGGTCGAGCGGGGAAGAAGAGCCATTCCATGCGCTGCCCCGGTCTTCGATGGGCGTCAACCTGATTCCAGATGTCTGGAAGTCCGATTCAGGGTCGGCTGCGGTAGAAAGGTATAAATTGGAGAGCGCTGGTTCTAAACTCCTATCGGGTGATTCCCTTCGCACCAAACGGGGCGAAACCGTCGACATCTTCAGAAGAAGCACGAGGTTGACGTGGGAACTTCGTCACGGCAGCTCCGACGAGAAGGAGCGAAGTTTTGCGTCTTTTTCTTTTCAGTGGGCACTCGAATCTCCGATGAGGTGCCTGTCATTAGTGTGCAGTAAGAAGGGCGAAGAGTGACATGTCTGACAGGTTGTAGATGCGATCGGGCACGAGGACTTTTAAACGAGATCGGGCAACGGATCGGAATTATTATGTATAAGAGGACGAGCTACCAAAGTTGCCCGATCGCCGGCGCAGATCTGGGTCTTTCAGCTCTTGTCCGGTAGGGGATTTCTAGCAGTTGATAGAAATATGGACTGTTCTGGTCCAATAAACAATATGACGTCGGAGGGCGGAGTGCAGAAGAGGCACAAGTGAGCCAGACAAGGCAGTATGAGAAACAGACGGAGACGGAAGGCTACTGTAGGTGAGACAAGGCGGATAGATAAGAAGCAGAGAGAAGAAGCAAGGCTGAGTCGGGGCCCTGAGAAGTCGAACAGGGGGGTGGGGAGGTATGGTGACAGGAGGAGGCTCTGAGGGGAAAAAGAGTGACGAGCAGGGCTGAAGCTGGGAGCGAGCAGGCAGACAGGCACAAACAGGCACAGACAGCCAGCGAGATGGAGGGATGGATGCGACGAGGTGGGGTGGGGGGGAGAGCAGAAAAAGAAAGGAGAATGGATATTGGGAGAATAATAAAGGCTGCCTTGTGAGCACGACACTGTCGGCGCCAAACTAGAGGCTGAGAATGGACAGTGTCTCAGCACATCGGCACAAGTGACAGCGCTCCATGCCCTCGTCAGGCCAGTCTCCTTCCTCTTGGGTGGTGATGTTGACATCCAACTCCAATGCTCTCCATCGTTCCATATCCACTGGAGCTGGTTCTCCCATTCTTGACTCCATCCCCACTGTCCCCACTGCAGATTGGCGACGGAAAAAAAATAACCTGATCTTGAAACAAGCAGATGCCTCGTTGCGAACTGCCTCTTGCATGGGGTATGCTCTTGCATTCTTCTCTATTTTTCCACGAGTTCTCTCTGCTGGAAATCGGCTGAATCTGCCAGTTGCATTCCAGGGTCCAGTCTCTGCCAAGCCACCGCACCGCAGCCACAGCTCGGGTCCCAAGGCAGATTCGGAGCATATCTGACCACCATCACTTCGACGGTGTATTCTGCCTCACACTAGCCACACCGCTAGACACTGACATCATACTACAAGCAGATTGAAGAACATTTGTCGCAGTTGAGTTATATTCACATAAATAGAGCTAACTAAAACGGCGAGTTCCCTGCAAATTGACTCCAAACACATATGTGATTGACTCCCTTAATACCCCATAATGCTATAGTCGCTAAACTGCCGAGCAAATCGAAGAAAAGATTTTGTATAATAGACATAAGACAGGCGTGGGAAGAGAAAGCAAAATCGTAATGGAATACATGATTCACTGGATAAAAACGTCAATCTGAAGAGAAATGGAGAAAAGGCATGCAAAAGAAATACAAAGGAAATAATTAAGAAGTTGCAAGTGAAGTCTCCTATCAAACGGCGAGATCAAACAGTGCCAAAGTTGGCTCCGGTTGCGCCTTCAATGAGCGTATCATTTGGCATATACGGTATCTCGGTAGGGAGGGGCGAAGGAGGTTCAGGGTCATTCGATGCGCGAGACTGCCGCCGAGAAGGGTTGCCTGCCCCCGCCAGCACATCCGTAGACCTCTGCGCCAGCTCTTGCAGCCGTGCAAGGATGATAGGTGAGTCAGAGTAAAGCACTGCGCCATGCGAGTATGTGCAAGGGTTTGCCTTGGTCTCATCCCCGATGAAGTCCTCATGGGCTGCTTCCCGAATAATCCTTGGGAAAGGACGTAGGACCACATGACGTGCGAGGTCTGCCTGGGAATCATCTATGTCATTTTCCCGAGACACCCCATACTCTTCCCAATCCTCAGTTGGGGCGTTGATATCCTCGGGTCCGGGGAGAGTGGCAAGTATCAGCTCCCGCTCGACACGCGCATGCCTCCATGTTTCCGCCGCGAGCTTCACGATCTTCCGAATCCCCATGAGAAGAGAATCCATTCTTCGTGGGTCTGCAAAGTGCTTTAGGTGGTTGCTGATTTCGTCCACGATCACGGCGGCGACGACATTGATCGACTCTTTCGCGTCAGCGGTTGTATAGGCTGCTTTGAGTGTTTGCTGTCTCCAGAACGCTTCGCGTCGGACGGATTTACGGCGGATATCCATCGAGAGCATCTGGAAGAGGATATCCGCTTTATCGTATCTCCGCCCCAAAGTGAACAGGAATGGGTGGAATATGCGGTAGATTAGTGTCTTCGAGACAACATGCTGTACATACGCCGACCGTAGTTCACACGATGCTGGTGTGTTGTCAAGGAATGATGGTAGATCTGGCGGAAGCTTTGAGAGGACCTCCTGGGGAGGATCAATTGGAAGGTACGAGAAGTGCTCTTTAGAGAGAGTCACAATAAGACGTTTGAGTTGACTGAAGCAGTCTAGACTAGATTCACATTCTTATCAGAACAGGTACATTTATAACGTTATCAACATGTCATGGTCCTCATAAACAATCTATGGAGAAAACAAAAGAAAATATAGAGAGCGGATGCTGGTCACGAAAAAAGTGTGCTTATAGGTGATCATATTGAAATAAAAAAAAGATGCAAAGAATGAATGAGACTGAGAACCGGATGGATCTCAACCTAGGCAACTTACAAGAATGTATCGCCTTTCGTGTTCTTGAGGTCAGTAGCTTCTCCAAGGCTATGGAGAGTCTTCCTCAGCCTGTCGCAGTCGTTACCCAAGTTTTCAATGGTAAGTCGCATGTTATCAGTTGAATGGACGAGTTGTTTCTCTTTGCCGAGAACATCCTCCTCTAACCGCCTGTTCTCCTTCTCACTATTGGCGAGCTCTTCGGACTTCTCAGAAAGTTGAGTCTCCAAGCCAGTTTTCTCCTCATTCCAGACACGTTCCATTTCATTGACCTTATCCTGATGGCTGTTCTCGAGAGATTCAACCTGCTCAGCATGTTCCTTTCGAGTGTCCTCCAATTCCTTGTGCTTTTGCTCGAGTTCACCTTGGGTAGTTGCGAGCTCCGCCAGCTTAGAGTCAAACTCGGCCTGCAAAGTATTATGCGACTCCTGCATCTGCTGTTTCTGCTGTTCGTACTCTGTCTTCATCGCTTCTTGCTGCTCCTGCAATTCGGCCTCGCGGGTCGCAAGGGCCTCTGCCGCCGCTTTCTCATCTTCTGCTTTGATTTCCTCAAACAGTTCGGTCAGCTCTTGCTTCTGTGTCGAGAGCGCTTCTTCTTTCTCGGCATCCTTCTCTGAACGCTGCTTTTCCAGTTCTTGGCCGTGTGCTACACGCTGCTCCTCAATGTTTTCGTTAAGCTTCCTGACCTGCTCTTCGAGCCCGGCTTTTCCTTCCTCGGAGTCTGCGAGCTTTTCTTCCATGTCCTTTCGCTTTTCCTCCATGTTGCCAAGCTCCATCCGAAGTTCGTTGATCATATTCTTAAGCTTGGTTGCTTCCTCGGCACTTTCGTTCGCCGTCTTGCGCAGCTGGTTCTGTAACGCTTCGATAAAAAACTCCTTGTGCATCAATGCTTGCTTGTGCTGGCTTTCCATCTGCTTGAACTCCGCTTCGCGAGATTGAAGCTTGGTTTTAGTATGCTTGAAGGTCCCAAGAAGGCGGTTGATATCCGGAATAGCTTCCTGTATTCTGTCCAAGAGCTCTCTAGCGTCCTCCTGGTCTTGGGGGATAATGGGTCCTCTACCAGAGCGTTCACTATCATGCCCATAGCCTTGGTCTCTCATTCCTGAGAATGGATGTCCGCCGTTAGGTGCTATTGAGCCCCGCTGCATAGGATGCGGGTGCGAAGTTGGTTGGTAGTAGCCATATTGAGAAGGAAAAAACCCACCAGAGCTCATAGGAGGGGACTGATAAGCGGAGGCATAGCTATGAGAGATTGAAGGAGGGAATGACGGAGGCATTGGAGGTAGAGGTGCGGTATGAGGAGACATCACTGGGGAGGTATAGGCATGGGACAAGGGGCTGCTGACTTTGGGCAGGGGTGATGAGGGCTTGCGGCCGGGAGACCGATGTATATGTGACGAGGATACTGACTTCTGGCGTGGAGAGCAGGGTTGATCTGCGGGGTAGGTTTGTTGATATAGTGGAGAAGCACTAGGTGGCGTAGGAGGTGCCGCCCTAGGAGCAGTAAATACAGCATCTTTCACATGCGGAGCAATCTGGGACTTGGGCGACGCAATTGGTGGTGTAGGAGCCGTAGGCGGAGGCATGGGCGGGAACGCTTGTGGCATATCGACGGTATCTGCGACACTTATGGCGGCAGGCGAAATTGCGCGTTGCATTGGGGAAGCAGACTTGTATGACGGCGAAGCAGTCTCTGGTGCAGGGGACTGAGGCTTTGAAGCAGGAGGAGTTACCTCCTGTGCAAGATCAATAGTACGTTCAGGTCCCATCACAGACTCTACAGGTGCAACTGGCTCTGACTCAGTCGCCGGCTCGGGAACAGACGTCGGTTCGGGTTCTTTGGGAGACTCGGGTTCGTTGATGGGCTCAGGCTCTGTCTCAGAGGCGGAAGCAGGAGTTACCTCCGGAGCAGGAGCAGGTTCAGAAGTTGGCCCAGATGAGCCCATCTCGGCAAACGGGTTGGTGGAGTCGTGGGAAATGTCGGTGTCTTTCTTTGTGGGAGAACCCTCCTGGGGTGCCGAAGCCTTGGTCTGGTCGTTTTCTTCCGTAGTAGGCCCAAGTTCAGTAGGTTCAGTGGCGGTCTCTGGGCCAGACGCGAAAGTAGGTGACTGTGGTGCAGTAATTGGCGTTTGTTCGGATGGTTCTATGGGATTGCTTTGTTGCGCTGAGGTGTCGCCGTTCTCACTCTTCGTTTCGATTGAATCGAGTTGCCTCCATACGTCGAGACTTTCGTGGGTCGGCTCCTGAAGAGTCTGAACCTGGGTGGCACTCATATCTAGGGGTTGATCTGATGTATTTTCAGATTCAACAAGTTGAGTGAAACCATCGGTTTTGGACGGTGACCGTGGTTGGTCTTCGAAAACGGAGGGCGTTTGAACTCGCTCGATAGGCGGCGCTTGTTCCGTTTCTAACTTTTCTTCAGGTACAGACTCAAGTGTTGGTACAGGCTCTTGCGAAGGTTCCAGCCCAGCTTCTGGTAGAGCTTCCGTAGTGGACTGTGGTTCGGGTTCCGGTGTAGACACCGCAGTTAGACCAGGTGTCTCTTCAGGAAGAGGCGTTTCTGCAGCTAGTTGTTGCTCGTCGACTCCAGTAGAAGGAAGCTCAAGCTGAGGCGTTGGAGTATCTGAACTATCCTGGGCCTTGCCTTTTTTATTCTTCTGCTTGCCGCTATCGGCCTTCTTGTTCTTCTTGGCCGACTTCGCCATTATGACACACGCCCAAGTTCAATCAGATAGAAGAAAGACGTGTTTCCAGTAACTGGTTATCGGGGTTTGTCAGTTAATGCTCGAGTGGACCAATATTGGCTCAATAAGTAGGAGTGCGAAGAGAAAGTCACTCGGTGTGCTTTCAGATTGATATACGTGCAGAAAGCAGGCTAAAGGCGGTCCATATGGGAGTAGGAATAATGATAAGGCACGCGATTAAAAAAAAGGAGGCAGGGAAAAACGACCTGCGGAGCATGGAAGCTGCGTATATGCACGAATAGTTAGGGTCCACGAAGACAAAAAGCTCGGGTGGCAGGCTGGCACCAGATGAGCATGCAGACTCGAATGCCGTAACAGATCTCGGAGGATATGTTTCTAAAATAATTGATTTCCAAAGAGTGTATTTAAACATAAAGGGGCAAAAAAAAACAAAATATCAACACATGGCCATCATCAAAGCGTCTTCTGACGAGAATAGTGCACACCCGACAAGCGACACCGTCTCGCCTTGGGAGGGCTAAACAGGGATTCAGACGGACCGGACCGTGGGGATGAACTGTTAGTCTGTTACCTACCCATCCGATGAGTCAAAACTAGGCAGGAAAGGTAAGAGCATAGATTTGGGAGCGAAACGTCGAACCCAGTGTGGATTGAGCGCTTCGATACAGATTGCGGCTCGGAACCAATCATCGTGCATAGTTCGAGCAATTGGGCATCAATGACTAGGTGTTCGAGGACCACAAAGCAATACCGAATTTCTCGGGAAGAGGGAAGGAAAGCCCAAGTGGTGGAAGCAATATTCTCAAAACACCGAAAGAGAGGTTGGTTGGCCTGTGGGTCAGTAGCGCTAGGTGTATAGAGCGGTGACATGTTGTCGCTCTTATCCATAGACTACCAAGCGTGCATGGATTAGCAGGAAAATGAGCCCAATTGAAAGGTAGCTCAGAAATAGCAGTGGGTAGAGCATCAAGAGTGAGGCGTTTGGTCGGGTTAGCCCTGCAGGAGCGCCAACACAGCAGCCAACTGACTACCCACACATGTCGGGGCGGTTTTGGTCCTAATGACCGGTGTCAAGGATAGCATAATTGCTAGACCATATTATGGGTCTGTCCACCGCAAAAGTACGGTTTAGGCATGAGATGAAGGAATGAAGCTGAAAAGCTGGATATATCGAACGAAATGTGCACCTTGAAGACGACGTCGAGATGAAATGTTGGACTGAACAACCGGTTGACCAACCAGCGCCAAGACCATGTCAGCAAGCTAGCCTTATTGGGCGCCGTTTATCACGTGATGTGCTATCCGGCTCCGCGCCGCTCTTCGACCTCAACTCCCACTTCGGTGACGGCATCAGAATTATTCGGTGCCGCCAATTGTCGTCTTCCACACCATGATTCTTGCTCGGCGATCGGTCGCTCCGGCGCGGCTTCTGCTGCGAAACCAGCAACGGCGGTTTGACTCACATGCAGCTCACCACGCTGCACCTGTGAACGAGAGCTTTGGTGTAGGTTCTTCTTTCGGGACCCCCCCCAATGGCGGATAGTGACGTCTGGGAGTGTCCTTTCCAACTGAAACCAGTAATTGGCATGGCTAACGATTGATTTAATGTGAAACCTACAGCGCAGTTTCTATGTCACCGTCGGCACCTTCGCTGGGTGTTTTGCCCTCTACCAATTCACAAAGCCTACCAAGGGGTCCGACTCGAAATCCTGGTTCACCGGCCTCATTGAGAAGTGGACTCCCTCGGATAAGATCTTTGAGGAGCGAAATGCAATTCACACCGCTGCTGCGGAGAAGGCCGCTCAGGACCGTCACCTCTTCCTGAGCCGGGACGCTAGCGATGTTTATGAATTGAAGAGCCCCGAGTATGTTGTTTCCCAGGCTACATTGGTCCCTCAGGAATCGAGTGCCATCGGACTAACTGGTATTGTTCTTATCTGAATAGGACGAGCTTCCAGCCCGGCCACCCATACAATGTCGTCGCTGGCAGCAAGGCCGACTTGAGCCACGTTATCGCGCACTATGAGCAAAAGAACCAGAAGATTGAAGAGGCTCGCATTGCTCGTATGCAGGATGGCAAGGTTATTTCCATATATGACTAGATTTGAATTTGTTCTTGTGGGGGTTCGCAAAATGCCGATGGTAGACATGACCATTAAAGGTGTGCTGTACATATAGTTATTAAAGTTTCAGGCTTCGTTCATTGGCTTTTCATTTGTGCTCTTATGCTCCACTCAAAGTTATTTTTGCTATACCGTAGTCATTGAAGAACTAGCCGACGGCGAAGTGTAACGAAGGGCATTGAAGTTAGATGCATATTCGTACTTGCATTACTATGCAGTCTTATCTTAATTTGATTTCCAAAATTATTCTCCCGACGCCACCAGATTTGACATCCACCCGCTGTTCGATGTCCAAGTTATCACCGCTTACATCTCGTAATACAGCTAAGAACTCATCCACGCCGCCTCCAACCCCAAAGTACACTTTCTTCGCTGCGACCAGTGCCCTACTCTCAACTGGATAACGATGGAACAATGCTAACAAGGTCTCTGAGAATGCTGCCAACGAAGCAGGTGAGTAGATTGTCTCACTTGCAAGAACCAACCTCTTATAGCCCGCTAGTTCCGGAGATGAGAACACCAAGTCCACAAACAAAGGAGACCAGGCGCCGGAAATAAAATCGATTGTAATGCCCCGACGCGCGAGATCGGTTTGCAGTCCTTCCAGGAGCTCTGGTGTAATATCTAGCTCCTCTTCCTGCGTGTCTTGTGTGTCCTCGGCGTGACTGTCAGATGAGGTAGTGGCATTGCGGTGGTTGATAAAGTGGTTCCACGTTAGAATTAGGTTCGGTAGGGTGACTAGACGAAGAACGGCAGAGTTGTAATCCGCAAATGTGAAGTGCGTTCTTCTCTTTGCCGATGCTGCATTTGAGCCGGCTTCTGTTTGAGAGAGTAGCTGAGCGAATAAAGCCAATGATGGAACCGCAGTACCTGAGCCAAGCTAGTATAGTAGTAAGTAACAATCGTCTGAATATGCACCTAGTCCTAGGAGACAAGGACTAGGGTACGAGAAAGCACTAACCTCAATAATATGCTTATCCTCGAATCCAATCCCTTCATCCACAACCAGCTCAGCCAAATCAATTGAGCACTCCCATGTCTTGAAGCCACCTTCATAAAAGTTAGGCGTAATATCACCCTTCTCCAATCCGGCAATGAGGTCGCTGTTCTGCTCCTCAGCACCATCCTCAACCATCAGCTGAGTACGGATATCAAAAACCTCTCTGCGCGCAACTGTAAGTGCCCCGCCATCATGGTTTGTTCCTGTACCCTGTGGAGGATTGATAGTACACTTGTTGTATGATATTTGTGACGGCAACGTGGAGAGCTATTTTATAGTTAGCGATTATAGCTCTTCTGTCCGCCAATGCCTCTTGTCCACACAGGGTTTGATAGGAGACTATCAAGATATATCTGATATGACCTAGAGAGTCGAATATACTTACCCAGTCACTCATTTCATGCCTCTGAGCTTTCAAGAGCTCCGGAAGCGTCGGCGTTGCCCCACTATCTTGGACACCACCCTCGTTGACATCGTTGACCTCAGTCTCATCAACCTCGATGTCATCCCCTGCGAAGCCAAAACTGAAGGTGGAAGTCATCACTATAAGTTGAAAGAGTCAGAGGACAGCCCAAAACCAATAATATGAACGCAGCGATTGTTAAGAGAATAAAGATATAAGATATAAATTGAGTGTTATGCAATCGCTCTTCTCAAACTCGGTACGATAAACTGGGGGCGCGCAGATCTGGCTGTTTTGAAGGGGCGCGCTTGTTTGGTGAACAGGATCCAATATCCAAGTCTAGGTGCCTCAAATAGACGTCTGTTTACGGTTGTAGCTAAAGCCCGTTGGCTTTTGTTGGTTATTTCAAATTCTTGGGATGTAAATTTTCGTGGGCTGCATAGCTAGTTAACTACTTAGACAGTTATGCAGCTGACTAATCACAGTAGATCATAAATTTGAGATGCTACAATGGCACTGTTGTATAGGAGTTTCTTTCTTTCTTTCTTTCTTTCTTTCTTTTAAGAATTTGCTGCTGAAGAGAATCAAGGACTTATTCTAATGCATGCTTGTATTATAGCAAACAGAGGCTTCAAAGGCGTAATATGATGCTTGAATAGATCTATTAATATCAATTGTAGCTCTATCGCTCTACTACAATTAAATCCAATATCAAACTTCGAAAATCTATGCATTCCCGTTCTTCGTAGATTCACTTGCAGCCACAGCCCTCTCAAGAGCCTGTAGCGTGTCGGCTGTGAGATCCTTTGCATCCTCAATACCGCAGCTCATGCGGACTAAGTCGTCGTAAACACCGGCAGCCTCGCGCTCTTCCTTCGGAATTCCGGCGTGGGTCATGCTAGCAGGAACTTCGCAAAGACTCTCGATGCCCCCCAAGCTCTCTGCAAGGGTGAATATCTTGGTATATTCGCAGAAAAGGTGGGCGGCCTTTTGACCTCCGCGGATTCGGAAACTCAACATACCACCACCCATTCCCTGGCGATGTTGCCGAACGGCGATCTCGCGGTCCCGGTGAGAGTCGAGTCCAGGGTAATTCACAGAGATTACATGAGGTGAGGATTCAAGCGCCTGAGCAACAGATGTGGCGTTGGTGGTGGCTTCGCGAGCTCGCAAGTGTAGAGTCTTCAGACCACGATGAGCAAGCCAGCAATCAAACGCAGATGGTACAGCGCCGATTGCATTTTGGAGGAACGTATAGCGCTCCTTCAATTCGTCTGAATTGAAGGCCGCGACACCCATTAAAACATCCTATAATATCGTTAGCCGTATGAAAACGGACCAAGTTGGTTTGCAGGTAGAAATTCAACTCACGGAATGTCCGTTAATGTACTTCGTAACAGAGTGGACGACGACATCTGCACCATGGTCCAACGGATTCTGAACGTATGGACTCATGAAAGTATTGTCGACTACGACCAAGACACCATGGCGATGCGCAATCGCGGCAACTTTGCGAATATCAACCAAAGACAGGGTAGGGTTTGACGGAGTCTCGATCCAAACCAGCTTGGTTTCGTTTGGCCGGATCAGCTTTTCCACATCCAACTCTAAGCACGAGGTAAACGACACCTCCACGCCATGTGCCGAAGCGACCTTGGTGAAGTATCTATGTGTTCCTCCGTATACATCCGAGACGGAAACGACATGCGAGCCAGGAGCTAAAGAGTGGAGGAGAGTTGCCGTCGTGGCAGAGCCGGAGGAGAAAGCTAACGCGTATCTCGCATGTTCGAGAGCAGCAACGGCCTCTTCGAAATTATCTCTGGTAAGGGTTAGTATCCTCTACCAGACGCCGCGAGTAGGGCGCTTGGACTAACCGGTTGGGGTTTGAGCTGCGAGTGTATTCATACAACCCTACCGGCTTTCCGACGCTTTCCTGGGCGAATGTCGTAGACAGAGAGATCTGATTGGTATAGTCAGTGCCTGCGCAATAAAACCCAGCAATAATGCCAAGGGCTGAGGACTAACCGGCGCAATGACAGCCCCGGTGGTGGGATCGTGGGGCGCCCCGGAATGGACGGCCAGTGTCGCAAACTGGCGCTCCTGCGTCTGGCCGTTCTGGCCGTTGGAGGGGGAGTCTGAAAGTCCCGCCATCGTCGTCACGGGACTTGGAGGGGAAAAAGAAAACAACAAAAGGAATATGCAGAACTGCAGAAGAAATGTCGCTCTTGAGACTTGGCGCTCTGCCTTCGAAGAAGCGTTTAAAACAAAGAACTGCTGCACTCAGTGACTGGCAGCAATGACGGTTTATACGCAAGGAGTTTGCGACCGCTGATTTGTAATGATGGGAGTGTTCGTCAGAGTGAAACAAATCCAGGGCAATCCTGCGAGAAGGTTCTCAGCATTTATAACGGAATGGCTGTGGCTGCGGAAATTTCTTGTCTCCAGGTTTCTTTTACGTTGCACTCCCAGTTACTCACCGAGCCCTGATGGACGACTGGCGGACCGCGAGGCAATCTTCGATCTGGTCCCACGCCTAGTTCCAATAAAGACGTTGAACTGGCGGCTCGACTCCACTACCTGGGCGCGAGTTTATTCATATTATTTCCCTAAACTGTTATTAACACTCGTCTTGTTCCGCTGATAACCGAGGCGCATTATTGAGCTTGCACCGTGCATCTGCTGGCGCAGATGTTGCTGGTATTTGCCCTAAACCGGCGTTCCTGGCAGCATTCCAATCACCTGCTTCATTGTGTCGCCTTTATCGCCTACAATAACGTCATCTTGAGCCTCAACTCTACTGTTGCTTTCGGTCTTTGCGTCTACACTATGTGGTATTAATTGTTGCGCCGGGAATTAAGTGTATATTATTCATATTCCAAAGCAGGTCGTCATTCAGTCGTTGAAGCACAAATATCGATGAATGCGTCTGGGCGCCACGGCCTACCACCAGGATGTCGGCCCTAGACCAGCCATTTGCATTGATCCCTGCGGAATGTTAGAAGGCTGCAGATGGTATCAGTGGGCCTGTACGCACGATTATTGAATATGGTGGCTTGCGATCAGTCGCAGCACCATCTCCGAGATCTGGGGCGTTGGGGATCTGGTCATGCCATTCTTCCATTTCGACGCGAAAGCGGACAACCTCTCCTACATCAAAATAGAAGGTTCCCTCTTCATTTTCCCATATCCAAACCTGGTCTTGGTAATCGCTACGATGTGTTAGATATCATGAGGTAGCTGAAAGCAGAACAAGGGACTCACAATCTAGCACCGTCCAAAAGAAGGTCTGGAGGTACGAGGATATCGTTGAAAAATTCCACGCCAACTGAGTGATGAATAGGTTAGCATGCAACTTGAGAACACGGTTCAAGGTTTAATCAGTACCTTTTATGCCATGTTCAGTAGCGCTAGAGATTTTGCCCAGCACAATTTCTCCTCTAAATGGGCGAAATACAATAAGCCGAAACTTGACTGTAAAATGGTTCATTATGAGTTTCGTGAGCAAGAGGGCTGATCTCAGGTTAGCTTACCGTTCACGTTGACGAGCCCGTTCCCATGGCCGATCAAACCATCTGATGACTCTAAAAGGTCATAGAAGCCAATGCAGAGACCAATCTTTTGGATCACCTGGGGCATAGCACAGTCAGAACGCTTTGTATAGAGATGCGCAGAAAAGCTAGGCACTTACTTTGTTGGCATACTTTTCGTTGATGTTGTCCTCGATGGCGATAGAACTATATTTAGAGAAATCCTCTGGGGAAATCTGAATAAGATCCGAGATCGTAGTCTAGATAACAACTATAAGCACCCCAATGCTTTAAAAACCATAACTTCTTTCTGTTTGATCACAACTCACAAGAATAAACATAGTGGAGGGAGAGGGGGACAGGTCAGAAATCTCTTATTTCAGAGCAGTCACACGAGGTAAGATGGGGAGAATTGATTAAACGCCAGGTCCATGTTCAGATTTCACGTCGGCGCAGTTTCTGATAATGGTCTGAATCAAGACTCATTCGTCCATGACCATAATTATGTCTCGAGCTCAACGCTCAAGTGAAGTTGAAGACTCACAATCCCATGCCCTCCAGCCAATCGCAGGCAGAGGATCCGCCGGATTTTTTTTTTGGCTGTCAGGCCCAACACGTGACCGGTCCAGCTCCCAGCTCGGAACGGGCGAACTTGCCGCTTCTGACCCGCTCCATGTGGAAACTTTGATGGGAACTTTTGAAGCTACAGAGCTTGGTCGCCGCCGTCGAAATGTTGTGAGGATGGGGTTCATGTTCTCTGTTTTTGAAGGTCGACCGAGATCTTCCCGCAATGAACCCTCAGGGATTCTCTTTCCCTCCCCCTCCTCCTCCCCCTCCTTTGCAACAGCATCAGCCGCAGCAACAGTATCCTCATAACACTGCTTACACACCCTATGGCCAAAATCACCACGGCCAACGGGGCGGTCGTGGAGGAGGTGGCGGAAACTTTAGAGGCCGTGGAAGAGGGTTTGGGAATAGAGGAGGAGGAGGAGGAGGTAGAGGAGGCAGCTTTATGTCCACTGATGCCAACCGCTCTGGTGGTTATCCAGCAACTGCTAGCGGATATGGGTCCATGAATTACTTAGGGTATCCAACTCAACATGTACCCAACCAGCAGACGAGCATCTCAGCACCGCAGTATACGCAGCAACCGACGCAAAATTTCCAGAACCCAGTGAGCGGAAATTCATTCGTCTCTGCATCACATTACACGCATTCTTCGGTCCATGGGACACCCTACCAACGTCAACCCTCTTACGATGCTTCATATGCAACGTCGAGCACGCAACAGCCACATGTGTACAACCAGACTCCTATGCAAGCTACATCGTCTGCCTCACCCACGATTATGGTTCCGCCCGTACATTGGGGGTTTCAGAATACCGGACAGTCAGGGTCTTTTGCTGGAGTACAACGTCCGAACCAACGTGGTGCCCGTCAGAACAATTCATACAATCATCAGAGCACATCAGGCAAGCATGTTAACAAGCGTGATCACATATCAGCGTTTGGAAAATCCCAAGCGACTGCTCCACGTGTTCCGGCACCCCCACCGGTACCCAGCTTCGGAAACCCTCTACCTTCGAAACCGCCAGCGCCAGCGGATACTACCCGGAAGCCAAAAAAGAAGAAGAGAAAACATAACCAACTAGGGTTAACACCGAAAGCGGAAGAGCACGAATCAAGTGAAGAAGAAGATGACGCCGACGAAGAATCAAGGCTGGCTGCGGGCGGTGCGGCTGCGAGTGCCGCTTTGCAAGTTACCTATAGAGGACGGACGTCTAAATTACAAAGCTCTGCAGACATTGCAGCTTGGATCGAGGAACGCAAGAAGCGCTTCCCCACTCAAGCCAGGATCGAGGAGAGGAAAAAGGCCATCGAGGACGCAAAGAAGGAAAAGAAAGCAAAGGAAGAAGCGCAGCGGCAACAGAAGGAAGCGCGTAGACTAGCGATGGCACATGGGAAGAAGGATCAAGACAAGCATGGTCAAACAGAACAGCCTCGAGATTCGATAGATCCCGCCAATGCAGCCGCAAAATCCAAGCTAAAGGCTGAAAAGCTGCGGCGGAAACTGCTGAAGGAGGAGAAACGAATAGCACAAGCAGAGGCCGACGCCGAACGCATCCGCAAGCTTGAAGGGTCACAAGAAGTATCCTCGCAACCAAATGCAGTGCCAAAACCTAGTATTCAGGAAGTGGATGAAGATCGAGGACTGGAGTCTGAAAGTCAAGGTAGCCACGCCAAAGATGCTCATCGAGCTCAACTACAAACGGAGAACCGAGATCTTTCGACGGCATACGATGAAGGTACCATTAGCGACTCGGACTCGAATACCGACGATAGCGATTGGACATCTTCAAGCGGATCCGACCTGTCATCGTCGGACTCTGATGGCGACAATGATGATTCTGCGCCAGAGCAAGCAACTTCGCGCCTTGAGGGACCAGAACGTGTCCCGCCGCCCGCTCGAGACGAAAAGAAGCAATTATGTCGACATTTCGCTCGCAGTGGCCGTTGCCCTCGAGGGAAGGGGTGTAAGTTCGTGCACGAAAAGTCGGAACGTGCGACGAAAGCGAAGCCCGTGGAGAGCAAGGGGCGAAAGGGTCTGCTACAAGCGGTAAGTGTCAAGCTACAAGATCCAGCGATGTTTCCGATGCTATTCTGGAATCCGAACTCGGCTAATCCGACCGCTCTTTAGCTTCTTGATCGTCAGAAAGAAGATGAAAATTGGAAATTCATGGAAACAATTCTTTGGTTAGGCGAGAACGGGCTCCTTGATGAACCCGCGGCTCAAACGGATGTATCTCTTCTGGACTCCACGGCGAACAGCGCCAGTGGCGTTTGAGATCGCACTGAAAATGGTCAGTTGGGGGATGATAGATGAAATCCCGGCATTTTCCCGGCTTCATCGATCGTATATTATCAGTAGTATTAGTAGTGTAGTATATTTTATTTTGATCACATCCAACGCCCCCACAGCGGCTTCATCAAATTCCAGGCCGATACATGGGGCCGTTCACAAAATCGCCGGCACTCCGTCAGTTGAGTAATCGCCGAGCCCCCCTCGCATAGTCGTAGAGAGAAAGCTGCTGTCAACTTGCGAGTTGCGACGAATGACCAGTGATGTCTCAAGTCACCAGAGACGTTGCCCCAGACTGCAAGAAATAAGGTATCCAGGGACCTGCATTTGTGAGACATTGATCACCATCCCGGGTTTTCGGCCATATGTGATTGCATATCAGCCTCTGGCTCTGGTCCACCTGGCCGGGCCCTGTTAATCTCAGAGCATCCGATCCTAATTCCAGTTACACCGCGATTCGTCGATTGGGCCGCTTATCAGGAATTTCTCCAGAATGGTTATTTTAGCCAAATTAGCGTTTCCCTTAGTCCTGCCAAGATCACTGTGATATCTTGTGTCAATGAAACCCCGTTACGCCGGTTATAATTACGATTTGCGGGTCACGCTGCTTCCCCTCGTGATCTCCGTGTCTTCGCTGTCTTCGCGGTCTTCTGCAATCTGCCCTCCTCGGCTCCATCTTTGTTTGTCTGACCACCATCAGCATTCAATTCCCCCCCGCCCTAGAAGTGGCCCATACATTGTCAGCCCCGTAAGAGTCAAAAGGTCTGCTTCGACACCATCAATGGTACGAGTAATGGCAACCGCGGAACGTGTTTGGCTCCTCCTGTTGCCCGGCGGCCTGTGCTAAGAAACTCTCTGGCCCGGACCGCCACCCAACCACGAGCCATGGCACATGAGCATCGATGCCGATGGCCAGCGAGGAGCGGCTTCGTGAGGATATCCAATTCCAATTATTTTTAATGCTTCGCCACTCTTGAATGGGCCTAGGCCAATTTGTCGAGCCATCGAGCGATAGCTCGGTGCTATCTTTATCGCGGGCGGGCTAAATCTTGTTCTCTCCATGCTAAGTGGGTGCTAGCGGATGTTGATTTGCCGAATCATGGATACACTTGACATGGGTGGAGAGTCCGGGAGATACGTCTAGAGCGGTTACGGTGGTTGTTTCTCCAGGCGGCAGGGGAGTCCGGAATGAGTCCCATTATGGCCAGAGACTGGGATCGTTCCTCTGTATTGTCATTCGCCAAACAACCAGAAATGCTTTATTACGGTCTTCAATGTTGTTACTCCTTGCACAAATTGGAGGGCCTAGCGGAAAGCAGTTAGCCCGCTGGGACTTTGCATGTGGACCGGAGACTCTGCAGTCCGTTCCTGGCGCAAAGCCTGCTAGTCTGTGCGAGCGAAGGCTGCTAACTGGAAGGAGTCAAATTTGGGAAACTCGCCTCCCCCGATGGCGGACGAGCGTTCCGTCGCCTCTTCAAGTCTCTCCTTTTCCTTTCCCCAACGCCTCGCCGCAGCCTTTCCTTTCTTCCCTCTTGATCGCCATTTCTGCTCAAATAGTCGAGCAAGTCCTTCCTTTTGATTGCCTCTTCTGACCCTCTACACTCCTTTCTTTTGAATTTGCATTCGATCTTTCTTTCATAATCCTTGGATTCTTACTTCACCTTACATTTTAATCCCCGCATCTCGTTATACAATACGAATTACCCAGTCCACTAGGCTCCGCCGCACCTGAGACACTTTATAGCCTCTTTTGTTAGAGACTACAATACACCTTTCACAATGCGTTCCGTATTCTTCCTCGCCCTCAGTGCTGTTGCCACTCTCGCCGCTGCGCGTGAGAATGCCTTCAACATCCCCAAGGATGGATATGAATTCACTGCTGGCGAGTCGACTACCCTGAAGTGGGCTCCCTCCACTGAGGGAACTGTAACTCTCAGGCTCCAGCGCGGTGATGTATTCGACTCCTCCACTGGCACTGTTATTGCCTGTGAGTATTCTGCAATATCTACTTGCCCCATTTAGGGTGGATGTGGGCTGACTAGACATAGCGAACATTGCCAACTCGGGAAGCTACACATGGAGTGTCCCGAAGGACATCGCTGAGCATGGAGATTACACTGTCGAGATTGTCAGCGACTCAGACCCGGACTCTTCTAACTATCTCCCTCAATTCTCTGTCCAAGGTGCTGCGGCTGCTACTACTGCGTCTGAGTCTGAGTCTGCTACACCAACTCCGGAGACTACCACCACAGAGACCTCCAGCTCCAGCACTAGCACCGACACCACCACCTCCACGTCTACGACCACCGAGTCTTCTTCCAGCGCGTCCCCGACTCCGACAAGCACTTCTTCTGAATCCCCTAGCGAGACTCCCGCCAGCACCACCTCTACTGAGTCTTCATCTTCCAGCACCGAGAGCCCCAGCAGCAGCCCCTCTTCCTCTATTCCCTCGGTTGACGATGGTGACAACGCCGGCATGGCTAACCGCGTGTCTGGTGGCCTGTTGGCGCTTGCCCTGGGCGTTGCTGCTCTCGTTTAAGGTGGCGGATACCCCATGGGGCTAGGGATTGCTCCTCGCTTCAATTATAGTCTTTGTGGCAAGCACTATCAAACATTACTTTCTCACGTGTGTTCGTTGAGCACCTTTTTTTTTCTTTCTTCTCTTTTTCTTTTTTCCTTTCTACCCTTCTTCGTCTGTTGATGTATGGGATGTGCATGGGACTGTAATGGTTTTCTTCATGTAGAAGTGATTGGATACGATTTTTATCGTCGTGAGTGAAATTGCGGCAACTTGATTTGATTTAAACTACCCGAGCATATTACCTCTTTGTTTTGTTTGGGCTTAGGCTTTGTCTTGCATGCATTATGTATATATGTATTCAATAATGAGTATGCGACGTCACTTTGACCCCTGTCAGTTGGTTACCATTCGATCAAACGTAGGAAGGGAATCGGACATACAAACCCCGCAGGTGGTCTACTAGTGGTAGCTAAGGTGGCACTGACTACGTACACTCGGTGCTGCGATTAGTTAGCACGTTGGGCTGTAGTGCAACGGACCCCAAGCTCGGCAATATGCAAGACCTCAAAACACGTAAAATAACCTCTGGGACTACACCAGTATCCCAGGGACCCTTTTCCATCAAATTTGACTCAAGTTTAAGCTCCGCAGATCACCGAGGGGAACTGGGTTAATACGAAGGTGGCGTGCTCACCCCGGATTGCTTCGTGATCCTTCCTAGGCGCTTCAGGGTGGAACACGGGGAACGAACTGACCAGTTCTTGGCCATCGCGTCTGCAGCAGCGTTGCTGGAAATGCTGCATCTGGCGTTTTACTCCATTTTATTTTATTTTATTTTATTTTTAATTATGAATGCCTAGATAGGGTTAAGGTTTCAATGCTCCCATGTGGTTATGGGGAAGTGAAACCCCTTCTGTTATTATTGGCTTAGTTATGGTTTGCTATGCCGATTAGTATGAGTCTGTACCTGGTGCCTTAACAGGGTGTCCGCTTTGCCGTTCGTGTTCGGCGGTACCATCAGCTACAACTGTAAGGGGAGGTTTGATTGGAAAGCCGAACTCTACGTTGTTAGGCTACGTAAGGCGCCCATTGATTGATTACCGCTGTATTTATGAAGAAAGAAGAAGTATAAGCACTTAGAGTAACTGATTGCATTCTCCCCATCTAGTCATCGCCTATCCAGCGGCGGTTATAGTAATATGGATTCGAAGATTAGGGTCATGGCACGTAGGAAGCCATCTTTGGCTTGTACTGGGGTATGAAACGCTCACTCGCAAGAGGTAAAACAAAGAGAGAATATGTTGGGCCATTATACCCATTGTGGAGAAACTCGCTTAAGGAACTTCATGAACTTGAAGAATCCCACGGCATGCTCTACATTACCGTGGGGGTCAACGACACGTTCGGGAAACGCAATGCCCGCGCCGTGGAGGCCAGAAATAATTGCACCACTGCGGTCTGTGAAGCCACCAAAACTCGAATCCCATTTGAGGTCTTCGGATAGAAGGGGCGACCTGTCAATGGATAGCGCTGGGATCGGGTCGCGGGTATACCCGATGGCTTGGGTGAGATAGGCGCATGACGGAAGATGGCGCTCATACTGTGCCGCCTCTTTACTTTGACCACCAGCACAGTTGATCTTGGTGATGAATCGGCCCGCTTCGGAAGTCGCAAGTACATTGTCCTCCAGCTGTTGACGGGCGAAATCAGCGGCACGGCCTTTAAGACCGGTGTTGTCCCGGAGGATCCAGCCGTCCATGTATTCTGCATATCGAAGGGAATGGCGGGTGAACCATTTAATGCGAAGCTGGGGGTGGGAAGTTCGAGCCAGGTCGAAGAGGTTGAGCAGGGCCAGAATGGCGCTATGTGAGGCGCCAACTACTGCCACGGTGCATGGCGAGCTTTGAGGAAGAGTCGAGGCCAGCTCACTTGGCTTCAGGACTACATCTAGGTTGAGTCTGGGTACACTAACTCCTTGAACTGGGATAGGGATTTCCGTCGGCGACGATCCAGTGCAGAGGATTAAACGAGACGCCGTGACTTCAACTTCACCGACGGAGTCAGCTTCTTGGATGCGCACAGTCCATGAACGTGTCTAAAGAGGTTAACGTTAGTAAAGCTGAAATTGAGGTCTTCCCGTCCGCTACACAGGTCGGTCTCATGAGGCTCAACTAACGTAGTCTAGATTGGCAGAGGTGACATGGCCGCGGCAGGTATGCAGCTGCTCCATCTTTACGATTCCATCGGTCAAAGCTCGAACGACATCCGCCGCATGATGAAGATGGCAGGGTTTGTCTTGATCAAGCTTGGCCATGGTGGTGAAAGCATTGGGAATACGAGTGCCATTGATAACAGACCGAAAGGGCTGCACTGCAGTTGCAAACGCTTGGAACAATGCCACTTTGGTGTTGCTTATTTGATTCCAAAAACTACGTCAGCCAGGAGCGCTCCTCATCTGACGTTGGCAGACACCAGCTGTCAGATTCGGGAAGCACTCACCTTGGGACTTCACGATATTTCCGATTTACACGGCCGCCCTGGAAACAAGGGTCGACCCAGACGATGTTTCCGAGTTGCTTCTCAAGCAGAGTGCCCACGACAGCCAACCCAGCCGGGCCGGCCCCAACAACAACAGCAGCGCATCTCTGTGGAGGGCCTAGCATTTCGTTGTGTAAGCGGCGTTGTCGAAAGAATTCCAGACCAGGGGGGTTCCAAAGATTTAGATATTGGCCGAGAAAAATCAAGCGAATTCTACGCGAAATTACGCAGAGAAAGCCAAAACTTCAAAATGAATGTCCAGAGCCCAAAGAACGGCCAAGGGGGGGAAAGGCGGGCTTTTATGACGGGGAGTGCTGCCCAGAAGTGAAACAAGTCGCCCGCATAGTCAATCACGGGGTGCGAGACCAGCAAAGCGCATTCTCCAAATATGGGCCGATAAGAGGGGTCGCAGACTCGCAAAGGCCACTGAGGACCACACGGGACGCAGCGAGGACAAGGGAATGACGATGCGGCGTCGTTTGGCGGCCAGAATCGCTTCTCGGGCGAGAGCTCGGTTGACGGCGGTCAGGCCTCTCAGCGAAGATACCTGCTGTTCCAAGTCCGTTCGTTCTCATGTTTAGTGCCTCACACACTGAACAAGAGGAGTGTGATTCGCCCCTTTGTGGACTCAAAATAGCAAACGAAGGGCAAGCACGACCGGTCTTGCTGTTGTTGCGCGAGCAGCCCCACAGTGTCGTTCCCCCTCCTCGTCTCGGGCGACCTTCTCTGGCCGGTTGCCTTCGGAGGTCCTTCGGAGGTCACATCGTGATCGAGCTCAGGGTTGAGCGAGGGTACTGCGCAGCGAGATATGGGAGATGGAGCGCATTTTTGTTCGAAAGAACAGAATCAGCCACTTCTGGCCAACTTAAGCGACTGGCAGAGCAAAATCTGGAGCAAAAAAGAGAAAACTCCAGGTCGAAAGACATGAGCGCAGCCTGTCCTTTTAATATGGGTCGGAGTGAGGCCCAAGCTAGGTCTTGGCGAAATTGCGTGCTTTCGTTGCCTCAGGCAGCGATGATGCCATTTCTCGATACGCCGGGGTATATGGATCTATGGATGATAGACTACTGGATGGAGTAGCTGAGAGACAAATTATCATGCCTCATTACTTATATGGGTTGATTCCTATTCAGTCACGTAATGCGCTACTAATCCGCAGACCCTATATCGCCCAGAACACCCGTACTGCTAATCCATCAACATAATTCTTCCACCCTGGGAATCGGGCTCGTGCCCATACCACTATCGAGTCTCCAATTTCCATTTCACGGACTTGCTTTCCGTCTAGGGTATCCCGTCCTCGTCCTGAATCACGGTCAACGTCCGCCGCCTCAGGAGAATCGGCTGCAAAGTTGTCAAGGTGGTGCCAGACGATTGTATGTCGCTTCGCATTTCGTTTTCGAGCACGGTTGCGCTGTAGCGCGTTATCTCTAGGAAGGAGTAGGGGGTCATTAGGCGCGTAATGCTTAGGGCTCGTATCGGTAGAATTCATCCGCTGGTGTATGCCATCTCTCTGTGATGGTTCATGTGCTTTATGGACCACCTCTGCATCAAACCATGTGAATGACCCGTGGTACGAATCCGGGGTACCGTCAGGGTAGCCACCCTGATCGTGAGACAGAATTGAGAAGACTATTTTGCGACATGGGTGAATGGTCCTATGTGGAAGCATCTGGGGCGAAGCGGCATCTAAAGTCTGTATGCATCTGATTAGATGGTAGCCCAGAGCGGGGGGAAAACGGAAGTTGAAGCACGACGTTACCTTCTCATCGAAACATAGAGGATTCGTAGAGAGAACCGCCTGATCCACATCCTTTTGGACTATTATCCTCTGCTGCAGCGTAAATTTGCTTGAAGGCCAGTACTCGGCAGCGTCTATGATCATATCCACAACCTCTGCTGGAAGTCCGTCTGATTTCATCTTCCAGAGCAAAATATGTCGAACTTTCAAAACATCAAAGACGCCCGGATAGAACTGGTCCTCATCCCCTTGGTCCTCTGCTTGCTCATTATCTGGCGGTTGATTGCCCTGATCTGGTAATCCTACTCGAGGAGCGAAGCGCCGACGGTTGATATGAGGGGGAAGCATTGCCTTGCCGGAAAGGTGTTTCCAAGACGAACAAGTGGTGGTCTTCCGAGAAGCCGTGCAACTAATTATCGTGTATTCAGGGTTGCAAGACAACTCTGTTTGATAAATTCTCTCTTCAATAGGGCGCCTAGTTGAGTTTTGTTGTAAGCTTCCAGGCACCGACTTTGTGAGTTGTGTCACTGCACAGTTTAATTAAAACGCAATAGGGAACGACTTGGAATGTTGTTTTCAAGATCCCCGATGAACTGAACAGGAGATTTACCTTGGCAATTGTCAAAGGCTGAGAGCTAGATAGTTATTTTCCCCTTGTCTGTCGTCTTACTCTGGGCTTTTATAGACCAGGTCGGCTCCACTGCCCCGCGTTTCTAGTAGCTGAAGCAGTTGAGCTATCCTCAAAGTTGCAACTTGTTGGCGGGATCTTTGAATTAACGAAAGCTGAAGGGTGGGGGAAATGATATAGGAGAAGTAAGCTAGCGAAACTTCTATAATGTTTTGTATTCAGAAAACAATGAGGCCTTCACTAACCGTGTTTATCTTGAGGCTGATGACGTCACAGTGTCTGCTAGTCTCAAAACAAGAACAATACGAATATACTCCGTACTCAATGATATTGAAGATGACGGAGAGTGCCATGGAATTTGATATAATCGCTCTAATCATAATCCATTTGATATCCTTTTGCTGGCCACATAGATATACAAGTACTAAATCAGCATCAACGACCCTCTATTTTCCTATTTGTGCTTTCTTGCCTCCGGCAGCTTTATAGGCCGCGGCACGCTTTTTGCTCCGGTTATCCTTTTTGGCCTTGGAGCCACGGCTTTTCGTCCGTACACGAATGCGAGACGACCCATCTGCTGTTGCGCGGTTGCCTTCAAAAACAAGAGAGTTCTGCGAGATAGACTTCTTGCCGGCGGCCTTCAGCCTCGCCTCACTTGACCTTCCGAGCAACCTTCCGGCACGGCCATGTAGTGTTCTGTCTGCCTCCGCTAGTGACTTAGACGAGGTTTTGTTATCTTCAGGCTTCTTTGAAATCTTCTTTGCTCTCACCACGCGCAGCTTCCGCGGTAACATCGGGGGGTATCTTTTGTCATTTAATAGGAGGGCCTCCTCGACACAGTTTTGATCATAAAATTGAACATAGGCAAATCCCTTTCCAACACGGGTAGATCGATCACGAACCACCCGCACGGACTCAACATTGCCTCTACCGGGGGTACCACTCTTTGATCCTTTGGTGTGAGCATTGAATGTACGCCAAAGGCCTTCCTCCACATCAGCTGGCGTCCTATTCTTCTTCTTCTTATTCTCTCCCTCGTCGGTGCCAGCTTCATTGTCGATAAAATCGAGATTGCCGACGAAAATGCACCGCTTGTGGTCGACCTTGGAGGGATGTGCTACACTATCGACACGCAGGTGCCGATCCAACACAGTTGTTCCATTCAACGCTGCAGGTGCTTTGTTCGCGGCCTGTGGTGTGCTATAGATAACGTACGCATTAGTGCTGGGCGTGGTATCATCATGGATCTCCTGCTTAGCAAATGCAGCGCGCTTGGGTATTTTGCCGCCACTGGTAAAAGCAGTAGATCGGAAGCGTAACGAGTCGATTTTGTGAGGCCCTGTGGACTCGGGGAGAGCCGAGAGGAATGACGAAAGGTGCTTCATCAATTCCTTCTTCGCCGACTTTGAGGTGATTGCCTTCGTGGAAACATTTCCCAGAAATACAGTGCGATTAGACTTGGATAGTTCATCTTTGTCATTGTCTTGGCGATCACCAGTTAGAGCTTCATGTTTAGGGATATCCTCGTCTTCATCCTCCGACTCGGCTTCTTCAGATTGAGGGGCATCATCTTCACTGCCCTCGCTGGCCTCTTCCGTAACATCTGGACGCTCTGCTCGGCGCTTCTTCTGTTCCTTCTGCTCCTCTGCGGCTAGGCGACGCATATACGAATCTTCAAGGTCATCTGTGGTGGCTCGCTTCCTTTTCCGACTTGAGGGCTCGGAGACCGCCTGTACAGCCGCGGAAAGTGATGCGTCTTCCATAGGTTCGTCTTCGGAAACTGAGCCATCGTCCAGCTCAGACTCAATATCCTCAGCGTCATTGTCTTCAAGCTTCTTTTTCTCAGCCTTCGGTGCAGCACCTAGGCGAGGCACTTCTGGAACTTTTACTGGCCCAGCCTAATGAACAATTGTTAGAGACATGTCACCAAACGGCTCTAAACTCCGGTCAAAATACGCACACTCTGTTCAAACAATGAAGCCAATGAAGGATCCACGGAGGCATTTCCGCCTAAGAATGGTAGCGAGGAGCCTGTGCTGGACACCGCAGGAGTTCCCCCTTGGGACTTTGATTTCTTGCCCATGTTGAACAATATCAATAAACAGGTATTCAAAAGTCGATTTTGAGCAATGGGGGAACAAGAAAAATTCGCGGCGCCGTTCTCTGCCCCGGCGCGATTATACTAGAAATTTATTCTTTTCTCCGTTCTTTTTTTCTCTACCGCTTTTGTCCTCGGCCGTCGATCGGGCCACATGATACACCGCCTTTATGAGGACTCAAACTCAACAACTCCGGCTCAGGTACTCAGGTTGAAGCACGCCAAAAGAAAGGCAGTTTAGCAAATTCTACTTGTGCCACGAGTTACTCTAAGATAGTTAGTTGCTGGTGCAAGCTCACCCTGCTCAAGCGCGATGGTTGCAACGATAGATCCCGGGCGGTGAACAGCCCCAATTTGCGAGGAATGGTACGGCCGGCAGAAAGGAACGGTGACAATACACGGTCCTGTAATTTTGGTGCGGTCACTCGCGATCAGCTCGGTTCCTTGGGCTCTTCGTCTTCGCCCTCCTCATTCCTCCATATCTGCCCCAGAGAGCAGCTCCCTTTTGATCGCGGTCTCACCCTGCTTAGCCGTGTCTTTCAACCAAATTACACCCATATTTTATTCGCCGTGTTGTTCTCCCGCTTCGCTTTTGACCTTGACGTCAAACCCCCCGACTTCCATGCGGCCCATTCTCCCGCTGCGCTGCGCTGTCGTACTGCCCGCTTCCTGAGAGCCCCCATCCTTACTACCATCGGCCCCCCGTGCTCGCGAATTATTCGAATCCTTCAATCGTCAAGCCCGCTGCATATCTAATTATATATATATACTGCGCTGGAGGCTCTACTTTGGGTCTGTGTGCTTGTGCTTTCCCTCAGCGACCGTGGTGGTGAAGACTGTCGTTCCCAGTGTCGCGGCAAGCTGGGTACACCACGGGTTTACTGTTAGCGCATTGTCGAATGGTATGTGATCAAGCTCTACAATTGTATCTCCTTTGCTATGAATTTTATCCGCGACATTTTTAAAGAGTTATTGCTCGTACGTATCGAGTGCTCTTGATGTCGTGGTCGGCTGGCGCAGGCCCCGTCTGATGATGAACGTTCTGGGGTGTGATCAATCTCCGCACCGCCTTCTGGGATCTCCTCCACCTCCTCTTTGCTCCTCCTTTTCGCTTCACTGCAGTACTCATGACCGGTTTATTTGAAGCTTCGCTTTGAAAATGACACTCCTTCTGACATTTTCATCTCGTTCGATTTAGGTTATACTGCGCGTTGCGACGTTCCCTTCCGCCCATCTTCATCTCCCCACAAGCGCTTTCGACACGCCTCCGCCAGACATCCACCTGCTCTCTCTCTTTTCTTCTTACCTTCGTTGATCTACCATCGCACAAACATACCAAAATATCGTCTATATGGAGGTGGCAGAGAGCAGAGAAACCACTGCGGTCGGTGCCCCGACCGGCAATGACGAACCCGCCCTCAATGGCGATCAAGACCTGCTTCTTCAGGATTCGCTTCTAGACGATGAACGGTCAAGCAGTCTGAGCGAAATCGATGACGTTTTAGATAACATGCCGTCTGACTACGAGTCCCCCAAGCCGGAAAAAATGACCGTGGAAAACGACTCGGAGGCAGAAACCGAGCGCATTGACGACTCCCCAAACAACTACCGCACGAGGACCAATATTGTGGTGAGCGCAAGTGGCTACGGTCCTAGCCCTAGCAAATTGGTGCACTCAACCACATATGAAGACGTCGAGGACGACGAGGACCATCCGGCGGATGAGTCGCCAAGCAAGTCTCGCTCCAAAAATGGTCGCACAATAAATAGTGTTGAAGAGGCTCAAGATCCCGAAGATTCTACCTTATCCGACAGCACTGGGAAGAAAAGAAAACGCCCTGAATCTGGGGATGAGATGCTCTCCGACCTCGACGAGGATGACTTCCCACCACACAAGCGCCGCGGCTCACTCAAGAGTGATCTAAGTGACCCGCCCCCCGATATGGCCCTTACGCCCGAGCCAATTGAAGAAACCTCGAAGGTGAACGATGATGATACATTGGTCGATGACATTCCTGAATCTGATCTGCCCTCGGCTCCCGTGAAGGGCAAAAGAACCAAAAGGGGTAAACGGAAAGGGCGAAAAACTAGAGATGCCGACGAGGATGTTGACAGTGGCGCCGTTGAAACGGGTGCGGAGGTTGATGATACACCTGGCGATGATGATGCGGCCGATCGTCCAGAAGATGCTGATGACGGTGAAGCCGCCGCGAAAATAGAAGAAGAGTGTAAGTTATCCGGTCGATTCCTTTTCAAGGGACATAACTAATAGAATTACGCACAGCTGCGAAAAGGACGTCGGCGATAGATTCTTTGGTCTTATTGGAGCGAGAATTTGCAGCTCTCCGTGACAAGTATGATCCGCCTCGGTTCTTTCAACTCTAAGAGTTTTCCATGTTACTGACGACCTGCGTTTTCAGGATCTATGACGAAAGGATATCCAAATTAAATCGTGAATTAGATATGCTCAAAGGCCCAAATCCAACACATCCCGAGTTATTGCGCCAGCTCGAGTGTGTCAAAGGGTATCGTGACGCCAAAATCAACTACGAGCACATATTGTTCCAGTATCGCCTTGAATCCTTGTTGAATAAAAGCCAAGCCGAGCGCTCCCAGGCACATAGCACATACTTCCAGCACGTCCGAGATATCCGCGAGAAACATTCAAGTGCTATCAGCAAGCAATTCTACTCGATCCAGCACGATCGTTTTAAGACCGATGATGTGAGCCCACAACACTACGTTCCGTTCCCAACGCGCCGCTCTCAGCAAATTGCGCATCAAACAGCGTACAACACTGAGGTGTCGGTACTGGCGGGTGTCTCCAAATACGTTGGATTTCCAGCTGCTCCAACACTCTCATCTGCGCGACCAACGGAGCTTGACGAGGACCTTGAAAAGATGGGTGTAAGTTATCTTTATACGAATAAATACCTAAAGCAACCTGCAGGCCAATACTGATTATTTGCACAGATATCCATTGAAACCAGGGCCTCTGCCTCTCAACATCAGCCACCAGTATCTCGGGCCCCCATGTCGAGCATATCATCGAGCGCCTATCATACCTCCGCGGAGGAGGCCTTCCTTGAGCAGACACCTTGGGCAAACCCGCAACACCCGGTTCATCAACATCAGCACCTTTCCCACAGACCACAGAACCGGGTAATGGATAATTCACGTGCACCTGCATTCGCTACGCCGGCGGGCCAGATGCGCATGGTGGATGTTAGCGCTCCAAATGGATCTGCCTCAACCATTGCGGAGACTTCTTCTGCCAACAATACACCTTACGGTGCCGAGCAAGACAATGCGGCAACTCCTGCAGCGGGCGTGTATCCCGATTACGATGTAGACCAACGATCTGGATTTCGGTCGCTCAGTTCTTCTCCCCTAGATGTACGAAAACCTCAACCAGCTACATATACCTCCCGCGACCATCGACCATCGCACGGTTCCAACCGAAATTCCGGTTACTCATCGCCCCCTTCCCGAATCGGTCTTTTCGGATCAAGCGGCCCAAAACGGGACACTTCACCCTCCTTGCCGTCAAAACCTGTCAACTCCCTCCATCAATCGGCAACGATACTGGGAAGCACGGGGCAAAATCAGATGGCCGCTCGATAGACTAATGCGCTCTTCTTGATAACCTTCTCGCATTTAATCTGCATGTACTTTGCTTATCTTATTGTATAGGAACTGGCCCAGGTGTTTGTGTAGACCGTGTTGACTTTTTGTATGTATGGGTTGCTATGTATGACTGGAAACGTGCGCGGCAAATCAAGCTCGGCTGTTTATACCACATGGGGAATTGATTATGGCGTACGAACATCGGAGCTGTCTGTTCTCAACGATGATTTTCCGGCTTTAGCCTTGATGATATTGATATACTGTGATTGTATTTGGCGTTTGGTTCTTTGATTGGATGTGTCAGAGTGTGATATCTCTGCTCTCAGGCCACTGTGAACAAGCTACAGTAAAACAAACAACGGGATTTGCTTAGCTCGCACTGCTTAAAGCAGGTAATGATTACAAGTATAGTCCTTAGCTCGTGTGTGGGATGTATCATATTACGATTTATCATGCAATCTATTCTCATCTCTTCTGGCTTGTAGGCTTAAGAGTTGCGAAAATACATCCATTCATGCAATCCAAAGTGGCGCCGCCAGGGGTATATGGTAAGTTCGATAAAGACACCACACAATACAAGACACTAAATACAGAAAAATAAGGAAGAGGAAGTGAAGTATCAACAAGGTTAGATTCAATCAATTAGTTCACTCTGTCCTTATCCTTATGTTCTAGTTTACTAACAAGTCGCTTCATGCCGGTCCACTCTTCGGAGGGAACGTCGTCGGGCGTACCGCTGAGTCCTCTTCCAACCTCGAACACGGTTACAACACCATCCAGTCCGCCAGTTGCGAGGCGGCGGCCCTCCCGCTCTTCCCAAGCAACCTTGTTTAAGCTGCGGGAGAGGACACCAGCACGACCCTTTGAGGGTGAGGTCCGTACAGCGGGAACCTCGGTGTCTGTGTAAAGGTCCCAAACTTCGAGGTTCCCTGCACCGTCAACGACTGAGAAAACACCAGGCCGATGCGGCGACCAGCGGGCATCGTAGACGACGTCCTCTCGGTTGATATCGAGTATAGGCGTGACGACTTGAGTGTCTGTGATGCCAGACGTGGCGGCTGGGGCAGTGGCAGCTGGAGGGCGGACACGCCATAGTTTGACGCTCCAGTCCAAACTAGAGCTTAGCATGAGATCTCCAAGATCAACAGGGCCACGGGCAGGGTGGAAGGCTGTTGACATTATGGGAGCGGCGTGGCCGCGGTAGGCAAGGCGGTGATCGGTGCCTGCCTTGGCGCCAGCGCGGTCATAACGGTGGCAGGGGTAAATGCCGCCTTCCTCGGTGCCTACTATGAAGAAAGTTGGGTCTGATTGGGGGAATGACATCGTTGTGGGAGCAAGGTCTTCGGTCTTGGATGGTG